GAAGAGGTGGGAGCGGGCGGGGGAGGACGTCGCTCGGAGCTGCGTCCTTGTTGCTGGGGCTTAGGGACGAAACCCTGGTCGGGCAGAGGGCCCGGGCCGCCTTCCTATCCGGCTCGGCCTCCTTTGTCGGTTGCTGACGACCTCCGCCGAAACTCGTCCCCGGTAGCTGGGCCTAGCTCTGCTGGCGCCCGCGCCCCGAGCGCCCCCTTTCTGCCTCTGGGTCAGGTTTGTCGGGTGTCGGGCTTCTCTTTAGCCGCCCCCCCGGGGTGATACGGGGCCCGAGGCGTTCTTGCTTCGCTGGTTCCACGATGTTGACCTTCCCGGCTGAGGTCTCGGCCCCTGTCCCCACCTTCCTACCTACTCCGAGGTGACTAGCGCTGTATTCTTTGATTCAGGCAAGGTAGGATCAGCTAGTCGTTCCTCTTCACCCTGCAAGGTAACCTTTGTGTGCTAAGGGGTCTGGTTGCAGCTTCCCAAATCAATCCAGGTGTGCTAGGAGCTTTCCCTTTCAGGGCCTTCTGTGTATCTCTTTTAAGCAATCTTAACTTATCAGGTTCACTAACTGTGTTGCCTGCTGTGTTTCAGAAATGCATCTGTTTAGGGGGTTATTCACCAGCTTGTCCATTTCATGTTGCTATATTAACTTGGACAAGGGTGTCCTGTGTACTAACTATGTTTTTAAATGCCCTCACTTTAATTCTTCCATGCACTTCTGGTTTTTGTTGTAACTAAAAAACCCCTACAGTTTCATATGAGTGTTTGGAGGATCACTGTGAGAAATGTTTCTTGATATTCACTCTTCTTGTTATTTTCTTTTGTTCATCTGTTTTAAAAGGTTGTGCAGATGTGGTAAGGATCTTCTATGTGCATGAAGAAAAAAGTAGTGGGGTAGAGAAGAGAGGACATAGAGACTCCCTGCACAAAACACCGTTCTCCCCAGACACTCCATTTTGTAGTGAAGGGGCCCCCTTTTATAGCCATGTCGTTTTTGGCTTTGAATTATGCTAGAACATTATCGCATTAGCATTTAAGTTTAACGTGTTTTGATGTGAATGATACAAAGCCAATGAAAATCTCTTCTGTACCTGAATTTCCAATAAGAATGAAAGTGTTCGGGAGTCCCCAAGCAATGCTGATGTTTGCATTGCTTTTTAAATCTCCTGCTTAAGATTTTATGGCAATAGCTGAGTTTGCATCCAGCACGGCGATATTTATGCAGTAAGCACAGAAACCTTTTTTTAAACTTCAGTGTTTAGAAGCTTCTGTATGAACAACACAGAATAAAATGTATAAACAAATACTGATACCTTTCAAAAATCCACAAATGACTATAATAAAACAGATTGCCTTTTTATACATATACGTGTAGATGCACTTGCTGGCTTTTCTGTAATGTTTGTTATGTGACTACTTCAGGCAAAAATGACTTATGATTATGATTTCTGTAACTTACCCTGTTATGATCACTGCAGTTGTATGGAGTTTGCATGAGGACAGAATTTTCATAGATGATCATGTAATGGCAGCTGCATTGTTTGCATTGAATTCTCAGAACTTTTAAATAAGGGGCAAGTTAGATTAGCTTTTGACCATGATAAAACCTTCTATGATTTTCCCTTCCCCCTAGAGGAGTAGTTCTTAACTGTGATGGGAAGAAAGTGTTAATCTGCTGTAGGACCAATAAAGCAAAATGATAGGCTAAATTCCTGTATTTGTGGCATTTACACTTCATTTGATATACTGTTTAAATGCAGTTCCAGGCATGATTGAAAGAGTAGTTTGTAAAAGAGGCCATATGTTTTAAAAGAAATGTGATTGTGTCTGGATAACTGTTGTCAGGTTTTGCAGTGATAGCTTTATAAGCAAGTGTAATATGTATGAACTTATTTTCTAGAAGCAAAAGAATTTATCTGTAGCCAGGAGAACTTTTTAGGAAACTAACTATTTTGGGAGACACTTCAATGTGAAACTTTGTGTTTCTTTGTCCAGAATTTCCTATCTCCCGTTTTACTGGAGGAAAATAAAATTATGATGCTCTGTCTCCAAAATTAAACACACAAAATATTTTTAAACATTATTTGAAGGGGAATACATGTCATGATACTTCTTTACTTTTATTGAATTATTTATCTAATACAAATACACCCAGAACTATAAATTAGGTCTAGGCCTAAATCTAGGCCCCAATTCCAGTCTCAGGGTTTGTGATTCAAAGCCAAGACATTGCATTATATTGATAAACAAGTTAGAAAAGTGGGGAAGGGAAGGATACTGCAAAAGGACAAAACCGACAATCCTAGAAAATACAGAGTTTGCAAAAATTTTTGAAGTGGTTTTCTGGGATTTTTTTTTTTGTTTTTTTCACTCCATGGAAGCCTGGTCTAATAAAGCCCATGCACGAAGTCAGAGTACATTCGCGCTTCTATGGAGGGATTTGTTGTGTTTTTAAACAAAGTGGTAGGCTTATTCACAGGGAGACAAATACCAACTTTCTTGAAAAGTGAGGATTACAGAAAAAAAAAACCCTCATAAATAGCAGAAAGAAAAGATTAGGTCTTATGGAAAAAAAATATTTATTTTCTGGAGCATGAAATGGCTTATATGATCTGACTAGATCAGCCCAAGATAGTATTTTGGCAGTTACTAATTACCTAAATAAACCCACAATTTTATATTTTGGGGGAATATGAAACTGTTTTGAGAGAAGCAAATTATTTGTTTTTATTTGGCATTTCAACTTCTACTGCAATTAATAATGGATGCTTAAGATGTTTGCTGTATATTTTCCTATGTGATCCTGAGTGGTAGGGTGGTGGTCTGCGGGAGATGCTGTTGGGGAGGCAGGGAAAGGAAGAAAAAGTTTGATTGTTTTATAAAGACAATCAAATATAGGGATGTTTTAAAGAAATCAGTTTTAAACTGACTGATCTTTTGCTGTGAAAAATAATGAACTTTATTTTTGCTGATGTGATCAGTTTGTCGTGATACAACAGTAATATCCAAAAACCAGGAGGTAACAATTTTGTATGTGTCTTAGAGTGTCGTAGTGTTAATTGGTGAGGCAGCATTGTAGAGCTTACATAGCGGTGACTATTGACTTCCTAGAAATTGTTCAGAGGCCTTGCTCAGAGCTATACATGCTTTGAGTTTAATTCAGAGTTTTGAATTTATTTGAATCCAGCTACTGATGTGTAGTAATATCTAATACAAATACATAAATATACATCATGTGGTAGTTTCAAGTGTTCTTAGCTGCCAAAACTATAAATTGGTCAGGATGTGGTAATCTTATCTGTAATTTTCTATTTTGTTCAGACCCTTCTCTGTCTTACACTGTCCTTTGTAGTGAAATTGTATGGTTTTGCATAGTGTCTTCCACTATAAGGTGCTGGTCTATGACTGTAGCCCATACAGACATCTATAAATATGCATACAATGGCAAGCACTTATTAGACTGATACCTTACCTAGTTTTTTGAGATTAAACACATTGGGGACACTTTAGTGGGGAAGTAGGGTTTTAATAATGTATGTGGCTGGCAGTTTATGCAATATGTTAAGCCTCAAGAGGCTTAACATCCTGTGAACATGAAATTTTGAGACTTGATCTTTCAAGCACTCCCACCGTGTTTGTTACTTCACTTACACGAGGAATGTCACAGTGTTGGGTTAAAGGGCTGAGAGTCAAGAAAACAGCATTTAGCTGTAATTTTGCCATCCTGGGTGCAAAATGCAATTGATGGTACTTTTTCTCAACTAGGGAACTACCCACATCACTTAAATTATGCGTGTACTTAAATGTTTGCAGGCACATGCACTTTGTGATAATTACTGCCATGTACTGTGTGTGGGAGTGTAATTGAGAATATAGGATGTTGTGTATGAATTGGGAGGCTTAGGTTCAGTTACTGGCTCTGCCATGCAAACTTGTTTGGTAGGTGCTCAATGCTGCTTCAGAATTTGTTGTTTAAGCAAATCTATCCCATCTTAGTCCAAAACAAATTTAATTTTGAAACTTTGGTTTTCAGAAGGGATTCTGTAATTATTTTTTATTATTATTTTTACTCTCTAGGTTATCCTATTTTTAAATTGTATCTTACATATATTACACAGTTTTATCTTCAGATGAAGAGATGTAGGTTTTAGTAGAGTAGGGAAGTGCTCTACCCTAAGCTTGCAGCAGTGAACTACAGGCTTGGAGTAATTGAAAGTTTCAAATGAACCCTTAACAGACAGCAGACGGTTTGGGTCTGTTGAACTGAAAAGTGGACCTGATAAATTCCCATTGTCCTGAGCATTGTTTAAATGGGAAAGTATTGGTGTGGCTTTTTTCTGAGTTGATTAATTGTACTAACATTGACACTTTTATTCTTGTGAATGCACAAGTATTTTGATTTTAATTTATGATGCACTCAGTTGAGACTCGATGAACTAATCTCACAGCTTGTTGGTGCTGGAGGGGAGGGCTTCTGCCTTGTCTTCAATTCACCAGGGCGCTCTACTCTGGTGCTTACCTGACCTCCTGGTAAGCTGCTTCAACTTGAAAAGGTGGCAGAAGACTTGGGTTTTGACCATTTTTTTGCCAGGTTTGTCAGCTTATTTAGCTGATTTAACTGACATGAGGGCTAGAACTGCAGCCAAGAAGGAAAGAAGTATTGGTGAATGTGTCCATTTCTGCAGCAGCAAGGCATTAAATCAGCTCAGCTGTACTGTCTGACAGCACCTTCAGCAAAGGTCATCCTCCTTTGGAAATAGAGTACTTGTATGAAAGAATATAAGCACAATTATTGATTTACATCCAAAGAGTAATACCAACATCTTTTCTACTACCAAAATTTTCCCATATAGACTTTCACAAAAAGAAAATTTTGCTTTTTTCCCTCCAGTTTAATAATTCGGGGGGGGTTAATTACAAATATAAAGGAAATAGTTTTACAGACTGATTTTAAATAGGGTTTCTTGTTAGAATGATCAAACAGATTTGTGTCTTGAAGTAATGTGAAGTTGATAGCACTATTTTGGTATTGCTGAAAAGGGAATCAGAAGAGGCTAAAATTATTTTGTATTAAGATGTACTTAAGGGAACTCTTTGGTCTAAGCAGATAGGGTTGTTGCTCATGTAACCTGGTTGATGATATCATCTTATGACATAGCGGTCAAAGTGTGCATCTCCGTAGATAATTTTTTGGAATCAGATGTTTCACTTCACTGTTATTTGTGTACAGAGCTTAGAAATAAGTGCTAATAGGGTAACTTGTTTTATGGAGGATGGTAATTAAAATTTAGGAAAATCTCAGATCAAATTGATACACTCTTTGGGGCCAGCTGGGAAAAAAAAATCTATTGCTTCTTTAAAAGAAAAAGTGCACTTGTCATTCATGAAAAATAAAATTAATTACCTGTTCCCTTGTTTTGCTGTCTCTGTTCTGGTTATTTCCAAATACGTTGCATTCTCATCAGTAGCATTTAGAACATCTTAGCCATGCTAAAAACCATTGCTTTTTGCTGAGCTTGCATGTTTCTGCTGTTTACGTTATGTGTGAAACTGCCCGTTTTCCAATTGTCTTTAAAGGGCGTATAGACTTTGTATTTGCTAATTATAATCCTTTGATTGCTGGAACAGTTGTTCAGTCCTGCTAGAGAGGTAATAATCTGTATAGGGTGCAAACCGAATGAGTAACGGATTGTTACAGAATCCTTTTTTACTGTTTATTTTTCATGATAAGCCTCTAATAATTGTACATACCTGCCTTATTTGAGAAAGTGCTTCGAAATTGCTCGCACAGGAAACTGTAGTCTTGCCATCTTGTGTAGGAATACAATGTAGCTCTGATACTGTCTTCAGTTTCTGCACATGAAAGACTTTTTGATTAAAAACACGTAAAATTCGTGGTTGAAAATCTGCAAGTGTGAAGAAAGTTCTTAAGATATTCATTGTTGTCTTTTATAATATAGGAAAATCGCTACCTTTTAAAAAATACTGTTGCTTTTAAATGTGAAACTGCTTTTGAAGCCTTATGCTAGGGTGACAGTAGCAGTAGAGGAGAGGGAAAATCCTTGTCGCTTGTAAGCATCTCCATTTCTAAGCTGTCAGTGTAGTGGAGAAGCCTGCTCTTTAAGCATATATTTTACAACACAGAGCTATTAATATATTTCATGGAACAGTCTGTACAGTATTTACTGTACTTTTTACGTATGGCTAATTTTGTTGAGGGAGCTCCGGGAGTGACTAAAGACAATGTAACATGACAGGTCTTTGCAGCCTGCAATGGATTCTCGTAGTGACTAGAGTAGGTGAAATTCTGCCGTAACATTGATAAAACATTTTATCAGGAAATCATGCACATAGTTAAAAATTTTTTACAGGCCAGAAATTGAAAATTATTATAATCATGGTATTTCTATGAGAAGCATTTCCTTGTTGGTTAATAACAGTAAGTTAATACTAGGACTTCTATGCTTCCTTTCACATACTCAAATAGCTCACTTTTCTGTGTGTAACCATGTGTAATGTTAGGAAGAATATTTTAAGTATATGATATATAAACATGTATGAGATCTACTGTGAGTCTTGTACTTCTTTGCTGTGGAGCTTCTGTGATTTAGTGTTTACTCTGTGAAAATTGAAATGTAGTCAGCCATTTAAGCTGCCCAAATTTAAAATTATTTTAGCCAGAACAACAACAAAAAACCAGCCCCAAAACATTTGTGTGTGTATGCTAATATCTAACTACTCTTACAGTTTTTCATTTTTTGTATTTTTTTTATTTCAGTGTGCAGCTATGTCGCGCTCTCAGTGAAAGCAAAAGCCATGATAATATCGGTTTCAGAGGTAAGTTGTGTGGGGTTTTGGGTTTTTTATTTTAAAAAAAAGCCTGGAAACAGTTGATCATGCATGTGTCTGCTTGGAACATTCATATACGGTGGTCATTAATGTGTGCTAAAGGCAAATACCACAAGTAGTAAGGCAGTACAGACATCCACAACTAGGTTTGTCTTCAGATGTTCAGGTGAGAAATTTCTTGGACAGTAGGAGATGGTGTTGGGGTAGTCCAGGATTTGGTCTGTGCTGTGGAAATGGAATTCCATTTTGTAAACTCAGTGTACAATTAGATTTTATTCTAAAAGTTAAATATATGAACACTAATGCATGCGAGTGTGATTGTATGCTGCAGAAAGTAATTTTTACAACAGTACCTGAGTTATAGACTTTTTCTCCTTTGCTATTAAAAGACACCACTGTCTTTAAGTTTTTTTAAATTCACACTTCAAGAAAACTTTGGTTAAAGAAAAATTAATTTTTTGCTTTGCAGAAACTGTTGGAAGAAAAGCTTCCACTTTACTAAGGCCGCAAATGTGCCGTGCTGTTCAGATGGTGTTTTGGGTTCTCTCTAAATCGGTCATAATGGGCAACTGTAATAGCAGAAAAGATAAACCAAAACATTTTAGTGTAAATTATAAGTAATATTATTAAGAAGAATGTATTGTTCAACAAACCAAAATCACTAGTCTCAAAGTTTCTGAAGAAAGGCCACCAGGTGTCCTCTGTTCTAGACAGAGGTTGACAATTTCTAGATGCTGTTTTCTTTTTCTTTGTCCTTGCTGTCAGGATCTAAAAGATCCAGTGGGAATGACTAGCTAGATACATGCAGTGGCTGTATTGGACGACATAATAGACAGTAGAAATAGTCTTTGTCGTGATGGAAAAACCCCTGAAAATATGGATAATCTGGAGTGACGTACAGAGATGCTGGCTGCTAAGAATTTGTTGGGAGTCCAAGTGACCTGGATCCTGTTCTGAAAACTGCACTGGCACTTGCATTTCTGCCTTTTAGCTCCAGAAAGACATGTATTGAAGTCCAATATACCACAAGCTTATGGAGGCGGGTCAGGTTTAGCAATGTGCCTGTATAACAAAGTCTCCACGCTTTGGGGAACCACTTGCAGAGGCATGTCTGAGGCTCTGCTTATGGCTGGTTTGGGTTCATTGTAAATTATTAAATTGCGTACTGCACCAAGTTGCCCTCTTGAATTGGCCTTCAAAGTAGTAGAGTCATGTTTTCCATAGGATTGATGTCTAAACCAATCCTGCTATATTCAAGTCTTTAGCTATTAGTGTTCTTTGCCAAAAACACTGTGATAGGCAAAATTCACCTGTCCATTTAAAAAAATAAATAAATCTGCTTTTAATGCAGCTACAGTGGTTTACAGTCACCCAGTTATTGAGTACTTGGTGTAAGTCATTAAGATCTGTAAGTTGTATACCCATTGTGAATATTGTTTATTGAGCAAACCACATGGTGCAAATACAAGGTAAAAGCATAAGATTTTACTATTTTTCATATACTAAAAAGTATAGCATCATTGCAGTGTGTTATTTAAGAACAATTCTTTACAAGTTTACCATAGCTGGTTTTGCAACTGCCATGTTTAACATTGCAAGATTGTTCTCAGATGCAGTATCTCTGTTTAGTGTTTCAGCTTAAAATAAACCTTTGTAAAACAGCATTCTTCAGTTATGGGAGACTTAAAAAAATAAAATTCAAAAAAACCCCCTTGTTAAGCATTTTTTCTCCAATTAAATTTTACTTTCTCCTAGAGAAATGGTTTTTGAAACCATATCTGTGATGAGATATGATTAAGAAAAAGTACGGGAATGTTTTCTATGTATTATATTTTTATGTATATATAAAATATAATATTAACGTGAATTATAAATTAAAGCTGTCTTTATTAAACCAACTGCCAAGACTCAAGTTATGTGCAGGACTGTAGTTTTTCATCCCATTTTACTGTTAATCCATAAACTCTCTAGGGAAAGTGGATCATTACTATGTGCTTGCATGAAGTCTTAGATATTGATGCTCAGATTTAATCTGTCAGCAGTAATAAAGTAATTCCCCTCACTGGCAAGAGAAGCATATTCCGTTTACTTGCAGGGTGTCTGAAGTCTACAGCATTATTATAAACATTGCTTTAAAAGTTAGATCAAGGATTACTTAATATGTTCCGTAATTCTCTGTTTTCTTTCAGCAGATATCCAACAGGCTTTGTATGAGCTTGCATACCATGTTGTCAGAGGAAACTTAAAGCATGATCAAGCCTCTAATGTTCTTGGTGATGTCATAGTAAGTATATATTTGTAAAAATTGCATACTTAGTAAATTTTTAGTAAGCTATAAAAGTCCGAATGAAAATAAAGCAGGATAATACTAAACAGGCTTGTTTTTCCATGTCTAAAAAGTTGTTCTTGTCAAGTCCTTTTTCTTCATTTGTGTGCACCTGAAATATATGTAGTCTGTCAGGGTTTTGTGTTTTTTGTCCTACTTTTTGTGGTGAAGAATAGATATATTCATTTTCAGCATAAATTAAAAATTAAATAGCTTTTAAAAAGCATATGAAGACCGAGGTTTTTATAAATGCTAAAAATAGGTTTTACTTGCTGATACAGCATGTCTGTAATGCCACCTACTGGTTTTTATAGTTTACATCTTTCTTACAGTGTAGCAATGTGCATGTCTGCCATTTTACTACTGAGTTGTCTTAATGCCTTTAAAATAATGCATTAGACTTATTTGTTGTTTGAAAAAGGTTTTTGTTAAAATTCTTTGAATAAATAGAGAAAGTAGGGAAAAAGAGTATTTTCCTCCAAACTTCAAAGGTTACCAAATGTTGGTGTTCCTAAAAAAAAAAAAAAAAATCAAACCTACAACTGAAAAAAAAAACCAACCCCACATCTAAAAAAATATTCTAGTAATGATTTCTTGCTCTTTGTAAGTTCTGAGATTACTGCAGAAGATGTTTTTTCTTAATGTTCTGTCTGTGTCAAAAGAGCAATCTATTCTAGCATAACCTTTTTAGGTTTTTAAACTTCTGCATTGGGTTTGAGAGTAGTCAAGGCTGAAGTGCACCTTGCTGTTGGGGTAGCATGGGATAATGTTTGGTCTTTAGTTACTGTAGGAAGTTGTAATTTGTTCTGTGCCTGAGCAAGTGTAGTCTACTGTACTGTGCTGCTCTTCAGACAGGGAGTTCCATTGTGCTAGAGAAACGGTGGTAGTAACCAGAGGGGTTTGTCCCTGGCCACTAGATACTGTTTTGAATTACATTAAAGAGTTGTGTTATTTCATTACATATCAATAATTTAAAAGTACAGCACTTGTGTTAGATATTATTCAATAATTGAGCCTCTTCATTATTAATTAATAAGAATTATTAATATAATTAGGAATAATCGCATTATTAAATAATGTGGATTTACTTTATGATGAAGTGTTGTTTTGTGTAACTGAATAAGAATTTTCCAACTGTACATATTGGAGTTTCTGTATTCACTAAGTGTAATCTTTTTCCTTTTTAGGAATTTCGGGAAGACATGCCTTCCATCCTAGCTGATGTGTTCTGCATATTAGGTAAGTTGGGTTCCCTTCATCTCAGCATTGCGACAGATCAGGAGTATTACATGCTTTGTGAGTTAGCTTGTTGACTTCTTCAGGAAACTTCATTAAATCTGTAAAGCCTGACTTCTTTACAACATGTTTATTCTTCTTCCATGTATCTGTATCTCAGTTGCTAATGTCTTTTCATTCTGCTTTGTTCTGTTACGGTTTCCAGAAGTTTACCTATTAAAGGCAGTGGAAATTGATCTGCCAAGAATAGTTAAAGGATCTAGCTTGTAAGAATGTTGGATGTTAGCTAATGGAATCAGTGACTTAGTGTTGTTATCATTCTCAGAAGTATTTTAAATAAAAGTTGATTTATTGGTGGGCAGACTCCCTGTTCTCAGAATATAGTCTGTAAATATTTTTATCTGTACAACTGTACAACTCTTAGTGAAATGGAGCTTGTACTAATTGTCCAGAAATCTAAAGGCAAATGACATCATTTGCCAAGTTACTAGCTGCCAACTGAGCAGGCTTTAAAGATGCATACTTCTTGTACTGGTAATAACTTCTGGATTTTTATGTTGTAATGTTGCTGCAAAGCTGTTTTTCTGACGGTTTTAGAATTTTAATCCTGTATACTTTTTTTCCAGATCATAGTTTTAACTGCTTCTGATTTCTGTCTTGTTCTATGTGTCTTAATGTTCTTTCAACAAAGCTCAGTAAATTGTTTTGACACTGCCCATCACAGATCCTGGTTTGTTCTGTATCCTGAAGGAGTGTGGCGTCTACTGTGCTGTGGCCGCTTGTGCAGCGAGGCACCTAATTAAGTTTGCATATGCAGCCTCAGTTCTGTAACATTTAAATGATGAGTTTTGACTTTGGTTTATTCATAATGTTTCACGCTGTGTACTTGTGTCATCTTTTTGTAATAATTTATATAATGTAGTATTATACTGATACCATTTTGGTTTTTTAAGCTGGGTTAGGAAACTTAGATTAGTTGCTGCTTAAACAACTTGAATAACTGAAACTAGTGTTACCTGTCTGCCTTTTTTTCTTCTTTTTGCTCTCCCCCCATCTTTTTTTTTTTTTTGTCGCCTTCCCTTCAAATTGGCATGTAGCCAAATGCTGCGCCTCCATTAGTAGCAGAGAAATAGTATGGCTAAAGGGCTAGGTTTCAAACTCTGGGACAAAGGATGTTGGACAGTTTCTTGCTTGTTTTTGATGAGTTTCCTCTAACTCTTTTTCCCTCTAACCAGTATTTGCTGCTATCAGGATTTTTTTCCTCCTAATTTCATCATCTTATACATTATGTGTTTCAATATATGAGGATTTTGATTTATTCACTTTATCCACTCATCCACATTCCCTGGACTAATTTTTTTCTGCAGATTGTTCTTTGGCTGAGAGGCTTGGCTGCCAGGGTACAGACTGATCTGGCCAGTCTGTTGCCTCCGCTGCCACCCTGCTACATCTCTGGTTTTCAGTCTGTCTGGGGGCTTCTTTCTCAGATTTTTGTTGTTGATGTTTGTTTTCTCTATGGGTCTAGTTTTTCTGCGGGTATGCCTGGGTTTTTGGGGGTGTGTGTGTGTTTGTTTTTTGTAATGTCTGCCTTGTATTCTTTTATTGAGTTTTCCACTCCTTTTGCAGCTCATCGCTTCCTCTAATGATGTGCTTTTTTAAACTACTTTAGGCAGGTGTGCTTCCTTGGCTGTTGTTTTATGGCCTGTCTTCCCATAGGAGGGAATTTATGAATTGCATCCAGTAGCTGACAATGCAAAAGAAAAGAATGGAAATACAGAGTCATAGCTAGTAAAAGACTGCAGACCAGGCAGTAAATGGTAGTTATTCTGAAGAGACAGGGAAGGAGACTAGAACATTAGATTAAGGATAGGATCACGCAGTTCTTTTCAGTGATTTGTGTTTCTCTTCTTTTCTGCTTATTATTGATTCTTAATGCTTGCCATAAACCTTATTGCAACAGAGAGAAGGGTGAGAAAAATTATTATGGCATTCCTCTGGCTTCTGTTTTACCTGCTCATTAGATTTGTGGATGTGAGAGCTGTCATCAAAATATTATGTGGACCTCAAGGTGGATGAGTAGGTGGAAAGTGGCAAGAAGCTAGCATGTTTTAAACAACCTCCTTTACATTGTGTTATCATCAGCATTTATCATAGAATCATAGAATGTTTTGGTTTGGAAGGGACCTCTAGAGGTCATCTAGTCAAACCCCCCTGCAGTGAGCAGGGACACCACTAACTAGATCAGATGTAACAGAGTAGTTATAAAAAGAAGAAACTCTTCTAAATTCCACAAGTAATGAGTTCTTTTTTTCCTTTTTTTCCATCTTTTATAATAGATATTGAAACAAGTTGCTTAGAAGAAAAAAGTAAGAGGGATCATTTTACCCAACTCGTATTAGCCTGTTTGGTAAGTTGCACTTAAAAAGTCTTCTGGTAAAAGTATATGCCAAAATTGGACAAGAAAAATCAGAAAGGTTTTTTTGGGGTTTTTGTTTTGTTTTTGAGGAAAAGACTATTAGAATGTCTTAACAAAGTCCCAAATAATTTAAAAAAACATCTTCAAAGCATTTTGGTAGAGTAATATAGTACAGTTGTCCCTTAAGTTCTCTCAAAACTCTTCAAATAATTCAAATTTTTCTCCCTGTCAGTTCAACAGAAATTTTACTTCTGAAGTACATTTTGAGTTGGACTTATCCCTTATGCAACCTCCTCTGTCTTTAGAAGTGGCATTCCTAACCACACATAATAAGCTTGATCTGCAGAAAAATTCAGCATATGAAAATAAGGCTCTTTCTCCCAGAATATGAGAGAGAATGGGTATAAGCTTTGTAAATATGCAGTTCTTGGTAATAATGTACCTAGATGCTATGCAGTGTATACTTAGTAACCAGCAATTAGGCTCCAAGGGCTTGATTTTCAAGGTGCTCTTGTGTTAAGAAGTCTACCACTGTAAAATTCCAATTTCAGTTAAATAGTTTCTCAGTTTTGTCCACCTCTATGTTTGAAGCAGAATGCATTTAATATCGTCGTATATCATGATATTTGAACTTTTTTTTGTAGTCAGAACATATATGTAGCCTAAAGTAATAATCAGATGGTTTCTAGGTCTTTGTAATTGACAAATTTGATGTGTGGTTTTGGTGTTTTTTAGTATCTTGTATCTGACACTGTCCTGAAGGAGCGTTTAGATCCAGAGACACTGGAGTCATTAGGACTTATCAAGCAGTCTCAACAGTTCAATCAGAAATCTGTTAAAATAAAGACAAAACTATTGTAAGTTTTGGGGCAAGGGTTGTTTGGGAAGCGGATGGGGAGGGGCAGGGGTAATTTATCTGGTAACAATGTTTTCCAGCAATGTGTAATGTTTCTTTTAATGTACTCAATTTTCTTTAGGAAATGTGTTTTGTTGCACTTGTCATTGACAAAAGAACCTCGTTATCCTTCTTAGTTTTCAAATTTTTGAGAAATGTAAATCACCTATTGCTACAGTGATTCCATATGTGCAGATTAAATACTTAATATTTAATTTGTGACAAATGCAAACTTACAAAGTATAAGAAAATTAATTACTGCTGTTGCATCAGTAAAGTATGGGCATTTGTATTCATAAATAAGCAAATGTAGTTATGGTAGTTTTGGTAACACAGGATTTATTTTTGTGGTGTGTGATTGTTTTTTGTCTCTGCATCCAATGTTTCAGTCTCAAAGAACACCACTTGAAACTAGAATAGGTCCTTACGTACGGACTATTACAGAGCAGTTCTCCAGCATAGTGTGTAAGAACAAGCTTTACTGTTAAATATAAGCATATTCTTGCTTTTAAATGGTCTGCATTTGAAATAAAAGAAGAGCTGGATTTGTTTGGAGAATGCTGGCTACCTTGCAGGTATTCATTGTACTGCGTTCTCTGATTTTGCAATAGCTCAAGTAAATTCCAAGTTCTTAAAAATATGTTCAAAATTAGCATTTTGTATAACAAATTTAATATCATTAAGAGCATAAATAAGCTTCACTGTGGACATGTGTTAGTTTGATTTCTGTTTATTTGCAGTTATAAGCAACAGAAGTTTAATTTGTTAAGAGAGGAGAATGAAGGTTATGCGAAGCTCATTGCAGAACTGGGGCAAGACTTATCTGGAAATATCACTAGTGATTTAATCCTTGAAAATATCAAATCTTTAATAGGTAAGGAATTTGAAGCAATATGGGCATTGGTTTTCCTACATGGTCTTATTACAGAGAGTGACTTTAGACTACTGTTCGAGATCATCTGTGGACCGAATAATACATCATGCAGGCGTGTGTAACACGTATTGGTAGATCAGCTTGAATAGAATTATGACATTTGGAAGTTCCAGTTTCTGTGTTAAAATTAATTTTGGGGATGTTCTGTAGTTAAACTTGGTTTAGATACTGATTTTATGGTACAGCCTCAAATATGCATGTTGTGGTTTTGATTCATTTCATCAGTATTTTTTTGATAATGCACTTGTGATCTCTTAGCAGGCAGATTGGAGTGTAACAAGGTAATGCTTTTAGCTATTTTAAGGTACTCAGTTCAATGCATGAATATTCTTTTAGTCTTACAGAAGTTGCACAAGTGATTCCTTATGAAGAGAAATGAGAAGTAGTAAATGTTCTTCCTTTATCGACTTCTGTTTGTGATTTTGTCCATATTTCTAAGTTGAGTCTTGGCAAGAGTGTCACAAGTGCAAAATATATTAAAAACAGGATATATCTTCCTCATGTTTTACACTTCCTTTTTGAATAGAGTTTTGCACAAGACATTGATGTTTGCACCAGTGCCTGTTTCATATGGTGCCAGTGCAGTAATGCTCAAAAGGCTATGGTACTATTTTATGAAAGATAATTTTTTGTCTATCACAGAATTTTGCCTGAGACTGTCAAATCCCTGTAATAGTACTACTTGTTTTGGAAGAGAGCTAGAGAAGAGGATGGTTTTGCTAGTTATTACAGTAAAAAATACGCACTCAGCTTGAGAGCTTTTATAACAACGTTTTTCTGTCTTCTGGAATTTTAGGAATTGCAAATAGACTTCCTATAAATTGTCAATTCTTTTCAAGTACTGACTTGAAGTAGGTCCTGGTGTAGTGGAAATGGCTTTTGAGAAGGAAAGACTGATGCGATTATGTATCTGCATAGTGGGTTTGCCTGGATAAAACTTCTCATGGTGCAATGAAGAAAATAGTCTAGATGTGGGTTCTTTTGATACCAGTAATATTTCTGTCTTGAGCACGTCTCCCGGAGGTTTGGTGGAAAAGCCTATATAGTAAAATACGAGTATGGTTACAACATTGGCTTACCTGGTCTGTATCCTGGCTCTTGCTCTGCTCAAAATAAACTGTTCTCCGTAATGCTAGCAATAATACTGAATTGATGGGACCATACAACCAGGTGGATTGGGGTCTAGCTCAAACCAGAACAATTTTTGGGGTGTAAAATAATTTCTAGCTAGCTGATTTGTGTGACTGCATTAATGTGTGCCAGCAGAAGGGGAGAGGAAGCAGCCCATGCCTTTTGCTGGCACTGTGGTATTAGTGAGGTTGGTTTTATACTTGGTAAATGTTTGGCTTAAGATGGTAATTTCTAGTTTTTCTGTAACCTGATTTGAAAGTCCTGTTTAGTATCTTTGCCTAGTTCAGTATTCAACATAAGTCAAAATGATCGATGCTGTATTTACAGATGATCTAGATTATTTTGCTGTAGTTAAATCCAGGCTCAATTTTAACTGAAAAGAATTAACTTTAATGCATTTGTGATTTAGTAACAGAATGATGAAAAGTAGCAATGCTAAGCTTTTCTACTCTGTTCTTCTCCACTAGGATGTTTTAACCTTGATCCTAACAGAGTTTTGGATATTATCCTAGAAGTCTATGAGTGTAGGCCTGAGTATGATGACTTCTTTGTACCACTGATAGAGTCTTACATGTACATGTGTGAACCTCAAACTCTATGCCATATCCTTGGGTTCAAATTCAAATTTTATCAGGTAATGTATTTCCATTCTTCATTTTTGTTTTTGGTGGTTGGTTGTACTCTGTGTTGAACTGCAGTCAGTGATAACAGATTTTTGCTGCAGATTTTTTTATTACATGAAAAATAATTTCTAAGTTGTAAAGTTCCAGTATTGAAAGCAATCATTTCATTATTTGAGTGAAAGTCACTAATGTATTTTAGAGGAGAATGCTTAGAATTCTCCAAGACAGCTGAAAACAACCCTGATACCTTTAATTTGAACTTATGTAGTTCAGTAAGGACTGGCATTTAATGACAAGGTTCTACCTTATAAACAAAAGACTTGTCCCCAGGAGTGAAGAGCGTGTTTGCAAGGGAGTCATGGTTGCTATTTGATAAAATAAATATTCAGGTTTTTTTTAAATGTATGGTTGGGAATTGCATACAAGCACCATAAGGTGTGAAGATAGTTGAATGTTTTTGTTTCTGAAAATTCTGATTGTGTATCACAGTTAAGTCTAGTGGCTTTGGAGTAATAGAAGTTAACATAATAAGAGGGAGAACTGTGGGTAATGTGTTTCGTCTGAACTTTGAGTAGTTTCTTTTCTGTTTCATGACCTTCTGCAGTGGTCTGATTGCTTTTTTTCTTAAATTTTCAATTCTTTTCCTTTTCAGGATCCAAGTGGTGAGACACCTTCCTCCTTATACAGAGTTGCTGCTGTCCTTTTGCAACATAATCTCATAGATCTGGAAGATCTTTATGTTCATGTAAGTGACAGTGCTACTCTGTCAAATGTCAAAACTAAGAAAATTTTAAAAAGAAAGCCAGCCGTTTTATCCTGTTGCTGAAACTTCAGATTCAGGACATACTGTGTAATACCAGTATATGTACATGTTCATTGTCTTTTAAAATTTCCAGCACTTTCTAATGCTGCGTATTCAGATAAACACACACTGATACAAATACTGATACACTTTCTTTGAATTATCTGTTTAACATCCTCCAGATAGTTTACCTCCTGCCTGAACAGGAGATAGGAGGTAAATGCCCAAGTATGCTTTAAATGCCCGAGTAATCTTCCTTAAGAACTAGACCCTTTTGAGTGTTTTGCTTTGAGATCAATTTTTGAAATTAAAAAATAAAAAAGGTAGGACAATTAGCTCCTAACATTCTTTGTTCAGTTTAATAGGAGGATTTTTTTGAACTCTCGCATGTTCATGAATAGCGCTCTCATTCAGTCTACAAGAATTCTGACCATTTGTTAGGTTGAAGAGGAAAATGGAGTTATGTGTTCAGGTTTATTCAGAGACACTTATCCTCTCCAGTCTGACAGTCTTATCAGCCAGCCAACATACCAGTTTGGCAGATGGTAAACATAATGTTACAGTTATGAAAACAATTTTACATTATACATGAGTTTTTAATTTCAGTGTACCCATAGATATTTTAAGACTCTTAGCTCTTCTATTGAAATCAAGGAAATGAGCTCTAGTTACAGCTATGGAAATTTTGGAATGTAGTCCTGCCATTAATTTGTGTGGCAGTTAATAGCATTAGTCACAATCTGACTTGTCAATAACTGTCTCTGGCTTCATAGGGAGCTTCTAGCCACATAAAAATGTGTTGAGTGGAGCAAGAGTAGGAGTGCATGTCTCAGATAATAGGTGTGGAGGGAGGAACGCATGAAGATAATGCTAGTTTGTTAAGGAATGTTTGTAAGCTCACAAAACAAATGCTCAGACTTGGAATTACAGTGGGTGGCCTATGCAATACCAGCTCAGACCTGTATAGGTATGGGCATGTTTTCTGACAGTCTCACAGCTGGAATAGTCCCTACATGCATTTATAGTGTTCACCTTAGTCATGTTGATTTTCAGTCTCATTTTTAATCTACTTTCATTCCAGAATCTCTCTGCCAGTCTCTGTTTGTCTTTGCGTGTTTGGGATGGCATTTTTTTTCCTCTTTTCAGTCTGGGCTTAATTTAACTTGCTATTCAAGAAAATAATTAGAGTGTAGGTGTTGAGTTTTAAGTGATATATATTGTGTGGCTCCTATACAACAGCAGCTGTCAGGATTATAGTTCATATCAAGAATGTTCTCCCCACCTCTGCCCTCCCTTCTAAGCTTGTAAGAACTGTTTTCTATTTGTGTATATATACACAAGACCATATATAATATATATTGCATCCTGAAGATGTGATTTACCCCTTGAACTTCCACACTAGGTATTTCTTGGTGAGTTGTAGTAGGTTAGCTTTGTTTTCAAATGAGAAAAATGTAGCTCTTTAACCCTTTTACCTTTCCAAGTGGGATTCTTTCTTCCCCTAACTTCTATGAAATTGAGGAATTCTACTATCTTTTCTCTGGAGACGGTGATGCTTAGCCTTTCCTTCTTGTACTGTCAGTTTGGGAGTAGAAAAAAACAGTAAAAATCTTCCATTGTTAAAAAAAAAAAATTACTTGATACAGCACAAAGAGGTCATGACTCTACAGTAAGTTTTGATTACTTACTTGCAGTAAAAGTTTGAGCATGGTTTTAGGAATCAAACTGACATTTGGCTTTGTCAGAAAAAGAGCTTTTCTTCTGTCTCACAACTTGGCCTTTTAATTTTTGAATGCAGGGTTATATTCCTCACCCTGATTGTTCCCAGGTACAAGACTATGCTGAGGTTTTATCATACTAGGTATCACTTCATGCAAGATGATTTTTAAGGAACAGATGTTACATGTGTTTAACCCACACTGCTGATAAATAGGAAATTTGGTAAGCTTTAAATGATATTCCTTTAAAATAGAGTGCAATCAAAATATGTGTCTTAAGTGGGTTACCTGTTTTTCCTTGGTGATGAAATTCTTTTTTTCCCTTTAAGATGAGCAGGTGAAAATTCATGCTTTTGAGTATTCACTTTGTTTTAAGGCACTGAATTTTGTAAATGTTGTCATCAAGTATGTGCGCAATTGTCACCATATAGCTCAGCTGAGTGGTAAATTGGAGAGGAGAAGAGGAGCTTATACAACTAACAGTTGAGAGGAAGTAGCACAGTGTTATTTCTCATGAGTCCTTGATTTCAGAATACTCTGTTAACAGTATACTTCCTTGTTGGGTTGGTGGTAGCAAGGAAAAGAATCTTTCAGGGAGTAAGTTTATCTGATCAGTAACAAGGAAGGACAAGTTTCTGCTTTGAGCTTAAGTGGTCAAAAGTAGCAGTAGGTCACTTTAATTTTCAGATACAATGTTTGTTCTGTTTTTTTAGCTTCTTCCAGGGGATAATGCCATCATTGAGGAACATAAGAGAGAGATAGTGGAAGCTAAACAAATTGTCAGAAAACTTACGATGGTCGTCTTATCCTCTGAAAAGGCTGAGGAAAAGGAGAAGGAAAAAGAAAAAGAGGAGGAGAAAACTGAAAAGGTGTGCATCTGTGAATAGTTTCCTTTCCAAGAAAATGATTTTTAAATTATTTTAAATTAAACATAATTGTTATGAAAACACTTTAATATTTATTTGAAACACACAGGTACCTACTTTTGGAAGGCTTGTGTATCTCTTCTTGGAAGGCTTGTGTAGCTATCCTCTGATTGCACTTCTGTTATATTGAATGTGCAAAAATGCATGGTTTGGTGTTTGTTCTGGATTTCTCTAGATTTAATGTTCTTGGTTCAATGGCTAATTAATTTCTTCCTCCCTTTTTGTTGTATTGGCTCCGCTGAATATGTCCCAGCATTCATATACTTTGCAATCTTTAACAACTGTGTTTTCTAGGACCTGTAGATAGTATAATCCTAGTTGATTTCTTAAAAGTGAGGACAGGAGTAAGAGCTTATTCCTTATTTCTTGCAATCGAGAATTGGGACATAAAGAATTGCCAGACTTACGAATGCTGGTATGATTATCCTGCATCATAGAAAAAGGTTTTAACTGAACATTTTTAATTCTAACTGTCTGCTGTGCTTTCCGTTAAATCTGTATCTTTGTATGTGTAAATGTATATTCTTTATTTAAGGTGCTACAACATCATGTATTGTTCATGTTGCCCTAGGTCTAATTTGTTTGTGTGTCTAAGCCTTACTTTAAAACCAAAATTATTTAATCTTTTGGCAGCCTTTCTGTTGTCATCTTCATTTGAGTGTCTAAGTACTGCTCGAACATCTTATTTAAAACAAAAAAAAAAAGTAAAATAAAAGCTTGGTATTTGCATTTTGTAAGTGACATGCTGGGGAGGAGTCCATAAGTCTTGACATTTTCGGTTCTTAATTTTCTGTATCCTCCTGGATTCATTATATCAGTCTGTTTTGTCTACTCACTCCTATTTGTTCTACCCCTCCTTGATTCTGTACATATCTGACCTTACTTCCTCCTTCCATTTTTCTTGCCTAGCTTGAAAAATCTAATTTAATTTTCTTCCCTCAGGCAGCTGATACAGTCACTGCTCTCTGGCTCTGCATCTGCTGCCTAAACTGATTCCTTTCTCTAGCTTTTAAGTTTCTGATCTCCCTCCCACTCTTTGTTTCAGTATCCCTTTTGATTATACCACATTGCTTTGGTCCACCTTCTCTGCAGTCAGCTGAGGCTGCCTGGTAGTCTCTGAAGCATGCATGTCACCACGTTCTGATGGAAAACCAAACTCCTGATGGGACACGGGGAGTGTATGTTTTGCAAGTAACGTCAGAAGAATTAAGACCGTTTTTATAGCTAAGCTTTAGAATTAAGAACTAGGGAATTTAAAGCTCTGGCAGAAACTGGAGCAACATTTTTCTGAAGGATTACCATGACAAATAACAAAGCCTGAGCCTGTGTGATGGGAAAATGGAGAGCTGTACTTAAAAACAATTCCTGTGACTCTTTGCATGCTGTTATGCAATACATGCTGTTTCTTGAAAAGCTTGTTTCTGTGTTAATATTTTTGTATGTGATTAGCTGTGCAATTCATAGCAATCAGTAGAGTAACTACGTGTGAAAGCTATTGACAGTCTAAATTTGAGTACCCAGTGTGCAGTTCTAATGTACAATTTTCTTATATGGTACCATGGAATAAATGCCTGGATGAGGAAAATAGTGTGTAACAATTACTGACTTCATTTTTCTTTTAAATCCACAAAATGCTTATTTTGTGTGGTTAAAACTTCTTATCTCATGACTCTAATATGAATAACTTGGATAATGCATTTGCCAGTACTACTTTTGCATTTTAAGATGCATTTGACATAACAATAGGGAGATACTTGAGAGATCGCAGAACTCAGCCGAATGACTGGATTTGAGAGCAATTCCAGACTGACTCCTGCCTGTGCCATGTATACTTTTGCTTTTGGAGAGCATGTCTCAGGAGAGTTTCCTTACCTAAAGAGAGACCCAGTCAAGCAGCATGTGTGTGTGTGAGCAGTGACTGCTTTGGAAACAAAACAGCATACTAACACATAAAGCCAAGAAAGACTGCGTGAGTAGAAACACAGATTCTCATATAGTTAGTAATCACTCAAAAAACCCAAATCACCAAAAATTTGGTGTTTAGTGTTCAGCTTTAACTAGTATGTTCATATCAAATAAATAACGGTTGTGATTTTTTTTTTTTGTAACAACATGACTTTTAGTTTGAGGTCTATTGTATTGAACATTAATTTCAACCTTCCTGTGTATACTACACAAGTGAAGTTTTTAAACACTTCAGTAAAGGATCAGTGTACTTTTTTGTTTAGCATAGTATATATTGACTTAAAAAGGCAACCCTTGGCATGAAAGGAACTTGAAGTAGTTACATGATAAAATAACGTTAGTGTGTGCGCTGCTAATTGCACATGTATGTTTTTAATCTTTGAGGCTCATCTTGTTCTGATGTGCAGATATTTTTTTCCCCCGGAAGGAATGGCTAAAATTACTACAGAAGTTCAACATGAATATAGACAAGATCTGCGCATTTAATTTTGTTCTGAAACTTTCCTCTGCATGTTACTATGTATTAAACTATTTTCTGTTTTCAAAATATCAGAAAAAGTTGCCAGTGTCATAAAGAAGTTTTAAAAGGAAGAAAATATTATAAAAAAACATGCAAACTATAGAACCATAGAAACGTCTGCTTTGTAATTAATTTTTGTTCTTGTCAGTCTGTTTTGTCTGGTTGCATGATTTAAATAAAACTAGTTTTTGCCTTAAAATACTTAAACATTTTGTCCTAGACTTGTCATCTTCCTTCCCTTGGTGTAAACATTGTCTTCGGTTTGTAGTTACATACAGCTAGTTTGCAGTCCCTGTTCCTTACTATTAGTCACTTGCTGACAGGCTTTTACCTTGGGGACCAGGGAAAACCAATTTATGACAATAAAATATATCAATACCATGCCCATGTAAAAATGCTTCAGGGCATGATCTTAACTGTAAGCTCCTATTTCCTCTTATGCCTATATTGAAAAATGGGATATTTGGAAAACTTGCTGTAGACTTGCACTTAGAACTAGACTCTCCTAGGGTAGATGCTAATGTGAAACTTACGGTACAGGCAAACTAAGAGACAGGTAAAGGTCTGGGTTGGGTTTGGTGGGGGGGGTGTGGGTGTGTGTGTGGGGTGTTGGTGTGGTTTTGGGGGTTTTTGTTTCTTTGGTTTTTTAAATAATCTGATTTTGCAAGAGCAGTTTCTGCTTTTAAATCCAGAACAACACACAATGCAAAAGATTGTTAAATGTTTGCATTGTTCTTAAAATGTCATATAAAGAAATAAGCTGCAATAGATTGTGACATTTTGAAAAGTACATGATCAGACGTGTCAGACAACTTTACAAACTTCTGTTTTGAACTTCATTTTTAACTCTTCTCTTTGATCCAGATGTTAGATTCCACATGGGCTGCTTTATTACTGGTTTTGAAGTGTGCTTATTGTGTAAATGTGTAGCTGATTTTTATTTTACATATTTTTTTATTACATAGTTGAAATACTAGGTTTTTTTCTCTAGCTGTGGATTGCAGTGCATACTGCTTAAGGAGAAACATTAAGAAGACTTTATGAATACACTTTTTCATTGTTTGTTATCTTGCAGCCTCCTGATAATCAAAAGCTCGGTTTATTGGAAGCTTTATTAAAAATTGGTGATTGGCAGCACGCACAAAGTATTATGGATCAGATGCCTCCGTTTTATGCTACTTCACACAAGCCTATTGCAATTGCCCTTTGCCAGCTTGTACACGTGACAATTGAACCTCTGTACCGCAGGTAAAGTGAAAAGTAGAATTCTGTTGCTACATAGGGGAAAACTGCTATTTATTTATAAACATGAATTCACTAATAAGCCTAACTGTATTGATAAGTTTTTGAGATTTTTCACTTCTGTTTCACGTGAAATGCTGCACATCTTATTTTTCAGAGTTGGTGTACCTAAAGGAGCTAAAGGGTCACCAATTTCTTCTTTGCCAAACAAGAGAGCACCAAAACAAGCAGACAGCTTTGAGGACTTGAGAAAGGAAGTGTTCAACATGCTTTGTTACCTCGGTCCTCATCTCTCCCATGATCCCATTTTATTTGCAAAAGTGGTGCGCCTTGGAAAAGCACTTATGAAAGAGGTTGGTATGACAGAACAGCTTGTCAAAACTTGAAAAATACCAATTCCTCTGATGTCAAAAAATGCTTAAGTCTTACTAATTGTGTATATATTTGACTACTGAAACATGAAAAATTCTTTGACTAAGGACAGATTTGGAGAATCTTGTTTTAATTCTTGATAATTTTTATGATCAATAAACATAACAAACATTTGCATGGACAACTTAAGGCACTTTAGGTTTATAACCAGGAATATTTAGTAATAACTAATTTCTCATTATGGTCTTCACTTTTTAAAACATTATCTGTGTATGGATATTTTTTAAGAAAAAAAAAAAGTCATACGATACTAATTGCATGGAAGCTTTTACATTATTAGAGCACCAGTGTAGACAATGGGGAACAACAACCTAGTACACATACAGTACTTAAGATAGTAGGGGATGTTGCATCTTTTTAATTAGCAGGGTGTCCCCCTGTTCCTGCCAGTTAAAATGCTGCTGTTGAATTTGTGTCAGTGACAAATCTCTGGGTGCCACTAAGGATGAGTTCAATGTGGAGATCTAAAACACCCTATAAAGCCTCAACTTGCCAACTTTAGAAATAAAATGCCCTCTTGAGATTTGTTTTTGTCTTTTGACCATATCTTTATCACATACGTTTTGAAAGATTGGTAGTGCGACCTCTTTTAAAAGGTTGCAAGTTGAATTTATATTACAGACTCCCTTGGAATGTACTCAATAGCTCAGGCTAGTGATTTCTTTTGCTACTTTTCTGGCATTTTGCTATTTGATTAGCAGGTTTTGTTTTATTTTCAAGTCAGCAGTAGAGGTTTGTGGTTTGTTTTGTTTTTTTAAATAGCAGCTCAGAGAAACTTTGGCATTTGTAGGTTTTGAAATAATTTTAAAAATTATTATTGTTATTAGAAACAAACAATCAACCCCCTCAACTTAAAACCCACTATTTTTGTTACCTAGCTTTTTATTTTAACTTGCAACTGAAAGTTGGAGAGGTTAGTTGATATAAATGGTACTGGAGGGGAGATTTTCAGTTTTATAACTTCGTTTCTTAAAAGTATTTTTATTTCAACTGCAACTAAAAAATACTCGAATCTTCAACATTTATGTACCGCTTGAGGGGAAGCTTTCAATGCCCAGCTGTCCTTGATGCAGGGATAAGAACACAAATAATTCTTGGGATTGAAGATCTTTTTGTCTAACTTGCAGATTTTGGTGAGAGTTTGCTCTCATCAGGTTCCAAGATACAATGATAGGGTGACAGAAGCTACACTAAGTTTGGGTTCCAAGTAGTCTTTGTAATAAAATCATGGTAACTTCCAGCATTTCCATCTTCCCCTACTTCTGTATCTTTGCAGGAAGTACGATTTCTCAGCAGCATCTCATCCAGAATGATAAGCTTTCCCCATGGTTAATACTCTTGCTTTATAGCATGCTTATTTCTTGCTGGCCTGTGAGAAGATTGGTATTTGGGTGATACATTATGTTGCCCTGACAATGCATTTAATTTGGAAATTATTATTTCAGGGGAGTACTCCATTTTACTGCTGTCAGCAGACTATTAGAACTACTTTGTCATTAAGTTCAAGTACTGATGGTTTGTGAGAAAGCCCTTGTTTCTGTGGATGCATACAGTAGAATGGAGATTACTTAGTTATAGGAATCTCTCATGCAGTTTTACTGTAAATATATGAATATAATAGTTTAATGTGTTTCTGACAAGAATGAGCAACATTTTAGCTATTTGCTCTAGGTTGGAACTATGAAGAAGTTCGTCAGTGACAGAGTGGTTAAGGTAACATAGGGAAAGTTATTTTTAATGTACTATTGCCATCAGCATGTTCTAGTTATGAAACTACATTTAACACACAGTAGAAATACTTATAACTGGAGGTGATTTTGACTGTAAGTTAACCTATACAGTAGTTTAAAAGTTAAACTACTAACATTGCACTGCAGCTTTCATGCTCAAGTGTACCTTCAAAATAATTCTGCACTTACTGGTGTGATAGCTTAATATGCTTTTCATGGTGAGTGGAACAAAAAGAGAGAAAAGAAAGTAATTTAATAATGAAGACTAAAAGCTTAAGAGGATATTATTGCGAGAGAAAGATGGGGAAAATAATCTATGGCTGTTGATAATGGGGTTGGAAGTCCTGGGGTTTTTTAGGTAAAAATTGAATGCTTGGGGCATTTTTTTTCCCCCTCTCTCCAGTAAGAAAAGTCAGTATTTCATATATTATAGTGAGCTTCCTTGATATTACAGTTATTACCTCTTTTTGGAAAAAAGTGTGCAAAGCCCCTATATATGTAAGCAATGCATTTGATCTATACATTTGAATTTCTGTTAAAAATATTTTAATGCTGACAGATCTGGAAAATTAAACATTTGCTAGATATGTGGCCCTTCAGGTTTATGCTTTTGCTGAGATAGCCTTGTTCTGAAACTGTAACTGTTACACTAGTTATGCTACAATTAACGTTATTGTCTTTGTTATAGTTTCAGTCTGATGGAAGCAAACAAGAAGATAAAGAGAAAATGGTGAGTTTGTTTTGGAGGAAGGTGTTTTTATGGAGATGGTAATTGAGACCAAGTGTTTATCTGTACAACTCTTCTTTCTTTGTAGAGTTTTATGCTTTAACAAATGTTTATTATAGATTTGTCTTGATTTTTATAAGCAAGTTGGAGCCAGTCACAGGTGGGGTTTTTTGTATTCCTGTCCTTTTTTCTCTTTTTTTTTTTCTTTCTCTCCTGCGTTCCTCAAACCTAATCTTATTCTTTTAGTCCAGTGCATTCTACTTCTTGTTTGCTCAGAATCAGCTGGATTACCTCCAGCTATTTATTCTATAAATATACTTTTCATGGTGGCACCTTATTTCCTAAAGGGAAAATCATAGAGAAAAAGAGAAATTAGAAGTAGGGGACGTGTTTAATAGTACAATGGGCAATTTTTCTTTATCAGCTAACTTATTTCTTTCTAAATTTTCTAGTTTATTGAATTATCAAGATTGGTCACAATGAAACCCAAGTGTTAACTTATGAAAGCAACTTGTTGGGTTTTTTTAATCAATAAGCAAGTTTCCAAGATGAAGTTTACACAGTTTTCATTATTGCTTATTACTCCTGTTTATGGAAAAAACATGGAAATTGGTGTTGTGCCTTGGGAACATGTATAGTGCCTTCAAGTTTTAATCAGGGATTTTGAAAATGGCAGTAGTGGCAAGGAATACCTGAATGCATTGAAAGCAGTTGCCAAAATCTATTTTCTGTTTTATTTATTTGTCTTGAAAATATGAGTGCATCTTGCTGAAAACTTCAGCAGCTTTGCTCAAATATCTTATATAGGCAAATAAAATACTGACACTGTATAAAAAAATAATATAATGAGATATTGAATTAAATAGCTATATAAAATTCAATATATACATATTGACATTAATGTATAGTACAGTATTGGCAATAAAATACAGTCTATAAATTATCTAAGAAAAGATTTATGATGGGAGATATTTTTAAGTCCTTTTAAGATTTGTTTGTTTGTTTGTTTTTTGTTTAGGAAGTCTTATTCTTGTGGCAAACTTTTATCAGTCTACCCAGATGTGCAATTCACACATATCTGCACAGCATTGCTTCTGATGTGCTTACTTGATAGTTACCTTGAGTTCTTTGTCTTTATCTCAGGAGATACTGTTTAGCTGTTTGTTGAGTATTACCGATCAAGTCTTACTGCCATCTCTTTCTTTGATGGACTGCAATGCATGCATGTCTGAAGAATTATGGGGAATGTTCAAAACTTTTCCATACCAGTACCGGTGAGTAGAATAATTTGTTTCCATTCTTTGGAAGTCATCTGTTAAATTGTCAGTACTAAAAATAGTTTTCCTTTTATAATCTTTCAAGGTACCGTCTTTATGGGCAATGGAAGAATGAAACATACAACAGTCACCCACTTCTGGTGAAAGTTAAAGCTCAAACCATAGACCGAGCCAAATACATAATGAAGTAAGTTGTCTGATTCCACAAATAATTATCAACTGTGATACAATGTACTGCATGTCACCAACAGAGAAAAAAAACAACCTTGACAAATACATTGTTTCTAATGACTCAGTAATTTCACTGATAATTCTTGTTCATGAAGTATTTAATGTACTGTGATTAAAAACTGTCAAATAAGTAAGGATACAGACAAATTTGTCACCAAGGGTGTTTCATCTATGAAAAGTGTCCCATTAAATTATGTAAAACCTTTTCCATGAGTATGCTATTGTTTGATAAATTGCTTTGCCTATGCAGATGTCAGAGTGCAACATATTTTCTCTAGGTATGGAGACTCTTTAATCTGCAGAGTCTCAAAAATCTTGTCACAGTTTGTGTTTCCATAGGTTTGAAAGTAGGGCACTAAGTTGAATTGAATGGAATGATTCATTCTCATCTTCAGGTGGGCTCACAATGGTTTCAGATTTACCTCACACTTAATGTCTCTGACATCACCATCAGGGATTTGGATTCTGCATTTGTTGTTGCCAAAAGGAAATGCTATGGTTTTATAATGTGGGTAATTAGAACCTTTCTACATAGGCAAGACAGAATAATTGTTACTGGTTAAAAGACTTTGGACTTGCAGCTGTGAAAGCTAGAAACAATGATTTTGATTCTCTTCTGACTTGCTGCATAGCCAGCATAGGCTGTAGAACTTTATATCCCTTCTCTTGTACAGCGGATTGCAAATGTGCAGATGAGCCACAGTGCTGTCAGTTGTTGAGATTTCTGTGTGTACAATTTACATTTGTGTATCGACTTCAGGTTTTGTGGTAAGCTTGTATCTTCAGTAGGGAATGCTGTGGAAGGGTAACACAATGAAATTAATACTGTTTTTCAGTTCAAAATGACTGATCTGTGGCTAAATTAAATTTGCAGGGGAGATTAACAACATCACATGCTATTTGTATATATGGTATAGGTCCCACTGACAACTTTCAAATGCCAAGTGCTCAAAGTTGAAACTGCAATACAGTCTGTAGTAATGTAGGGACAACTGGTTTGTTTGTACTGTCTGCATATTGTATGATTATAATATTCAGATTCCCAGAGGAGTAATATTTCTATGCTTGGATTTCTTAAAAACGCATCTGCTAGTAGTGAGAATTTAATCTCTACAACTAATAAAGCTGTTTGTTCACGGTAACTAACCTGTTCCAGTGTTCTTCTAGCTTGTCTATTGCAACAAAATATGTTCTCTTTTACAGGCGTTTAACTAAGGAAAATGTGAAACCCTCCGGAAGACAAATTGGGAAGCTCAGCCACAGCAATCCTACAATTTTATTTGATTATGTATGTAGTTACATGTATTTGAATACTATTTCATCCTAGCAATAGATACTGAAGTGTAGGAAGGGACCTGATGTCTTAGTGAGAGGGCAGTTCTAATTTCATTATTTTTCAGTTTTGTTGCAAACTTTCAAATACAGTAATTTGCTAGTAGTGAACTGGTCTGAGATATTAAATATGACAAATAGCTCTTGAATAACCACAACTGCACAGAAAATAACATCCACTTATTTAGAGAAGTAAAGTATTTAATTTGAGATAGCTGAGGTGGGTCTCGGGTACAGGCATGTGCTGACCAGGCTTATGCAGAATGCAAATTCAAGAAAACAAAGCTTTGAGGTCTGAAATATACCTACAAAGTTGGGGAGGATTTTTAAGATTACTTGGTGCTATAGAATGTTTGAGAGGTGTAAAAGTATGTTGATGGACCTCCACCTTATTTACAAATGTGGTTTGTGTTTATAGATCTACCAGCTTTTAGATTTTACTTGAAGACATCAATACTGCAATATACGCACACACACAAACATCATGCACAAAAGAGAACATTTTAAAATTTGATTAATACAGTTTTCTCGTATTTTTTCATGACCTACAGTAACGTTTTTGATAGTCTATTATTATTACAAGTAGCAACAGAAACTCTTACTGCTAAGGCTTAGGATTCTTAAGAAATCTTAGGAAAAAATGAGTGAAATATTTTCATGATTTTATTTTCTGATAATTGAAAAGAAAAAATAATTATGCTTTTACGTGTTAGAGACATTTCACTGATATCTCTAAAGTACTAGATAAATTAATGAGATTACCTATTACTTTGAAAGTTGTTTTGGACCTTCTGAAAAATTAATTTCAAAGGATGTTTTGTGTATGTTTTGACAACAAGTGTTGTTAAATGGTTTTGATTTATTATATGAAGGATAAGGAATACTGTTCCTGTTCAACTGAATGTCTTCTGTAACTTCCAGATTTTATCACAAATACAAAAATACGATAACTTGATAACTCCGGTTGTTGATTCACTGAAATACCTCACTTCACTGAACTATGATGTCTTGGCATGTATCCTTTTATGTAAATCAATATGTCTAGTTACTGATAAAAGTTGCAATTGTAGCCAGATTAAATCTGTTGTCTGTGAGTAAATTTTATCTTCTATTGTTTCCTGTTCTTGCTGCTTTTTGCAGGAAATTTTAGTGAAGTTTGTAAATACCTTTGGAATCTTAGTGGGTTACAGAACCCTCTCTATTTGTTCTTTCACACTATGAAAATTATACTTTATTTTTAAGGGTTTTTTTACTACTTTCACTCTGTTCTTGAAGGCATAGTGGTCCTGTAAATAGTGAGGTAAATACTGCTTTTAAGCTACCTTTACTTTCATGATTTTATTTTTTTTTTATACCATAACTATGTTAGTGTATCCCTTATATCATGCTTGCTATACTTGCATATCATGTTCATATTTTACAAATTGTGGAGCTGGAAAAGCAGGTCTGTGTAACTTCTGTTTTTACAAATTGAGGAAAAATATTCTCTTTAACTTCACTAAAGACTGTATCATTGAAGCTCTGGCAAACCCTGAGAAGGAGAGAATGAAGCATGATGATACTACCATCTCAAGCTGGCTGCAGAGTTAGTATTCTTGTTTTATTTATTACATTAATGTTTAAACTACTTCACTTTCCCTATAATCTACCATACTATTGATCATTATGATCAATATTTCACTTGGATCTACCAGCTAATTTTTTAAACAAAACAGCTGGCAAGTTTAATCAGTAGGAAAATATTTTTTTCTTTGTATTACAAAAATACATATCTTGCTAATGTTCCATGTGTACTTGGTTAATGCTTATTTAATGATTAGTATTTCATGCGGTGCAGTCACAACTGTTTCTCCTTTCTTTAGGTCTGGCTAGCTTTTGTGGTGCGGTTTTCCGAAAATACCCAATTGAACTTGCTGGTCTACTCCAATATGTAGCCAACCAACTGAAAGCTGGGAAAAGGCAAGTCTTGAGCAACTGATTGTTATAAACTCAGTTGTTATAATGTATTATTTGGGTGTTTGCTGATACACGGGCTCTTGATGTAGTAGTTACTCTAGTAGTGGTAAAAGTCCATTCATAATACCAGAAAGGTTAAGAAATGTAAATAGCAGAAAAAAATATCCTCTTCAGTAAGTTATTTTTTCTCTAATTGTACAGCTGTGACATATTATTTTTGAAGTACTGATTTTTCATCTGTAACTTATTTTAATACAGTTTTCTTAACAACTAACCAGACAGGGAAAGAAACCTGCTGGTCTGTAATGTGGTCATAGAAATTATTACACATTATTTAAAAAAATAAGTATCCGTGATATATAAAAGGGTGTGACTGTTACAGTTTTACTTTGTTTCTCATAATGTCTTCTCTGCAGGGATGGCTCTTAACATTTTAATATTATTTTAAATATTTTGTCCAATTTATTTAATGGCAGTTGAATTGCTTCTTGATAAGTCAGTGTTAATCATAACTCAAAAAATTTTTTTAAACAAGCTTTGCAGTTTGAATCTTCCTTTTCCTTTTGTCCTTCCATTGTCATCGCTTAGTATTATGGTTTCATTTATTTAATTTTAATGTGTTATTTTTATCACATAGGTGAGTATCAACTTTTTTCTATTATGAATCCCCATATGCTTACTGAAAGACAGCTTACCAATGGACATAATGCAGCATGTTATTTCAGGGTATTTATGTTGAGAAATCTAGTTTTTTCCGTTCCCTGCAATGTAGACACTCAGTCTCATGTGCTCCCCTGCCCCCAATTTGTTTTGTATTCTGATGATGGTACAATCACATAGAGCTACAGAGGAAGGGTAAGTAATGTTTCTTGTCTTTCCCCAGAATTAAGTAGTAAGACACTTAAGTGTTTTGGAAAAAAAATCTATTTATTTCTAATATTCAGTTTAGTATTTGGGATCATAAACTTAAAATGGATTTACCACTCTGACCAGTTCCATAGGACTGGAGTATTCAAGTATTTGAATTGGATTATATGCTGGTATTGCATAGTTCCTAGACAGAAAACATACTTATGGTTGGAACAGCAAACAAAAATATAAACAATATAAATTATTTAAATATAAAACTTTGGTTTGGAGGGCATGGGTTAACGCTTTATGAGTAGGGCATACAAGTTTCAGAAGTTACTGGAAAACGTTGCTGATTTGAATGATCATGACACAATTTACTACTATTGAGGAAAAGTCATTGCCCTTATAGAATTTAGAGCAGGAAGGAAAGCCTTGTGTCCGGACGGGATGACTACTGGAGTGTTTTGTATATTCTGTGTTTTAAGTAAAAAATGTTTTCAGTGTTCTGTATAACCTCTCCAGACTAATTTTGCCAGTAAATTCCTAAGGCTGTGTACTATTCTAGACATTTTTAATAGAATTTAAAATATTCCATGTTCATGAAATAACTGTATAGATGCATGTAAAACAACAAAAGGGAGCAATAAACTTTATGATTAATTAGTTGACACTTCAGAGTTAATAGCACCAAGCTCACTATTTTCAAAACCGATGAAATTGTTCTGAAGGGGTGTTCTGAAGGACTTCTGAGATCCAGCTGTTTAATGTCTGCATTGCTTTTAAGTACTAACTTTTTACTTCCAATAAAGAAATCCTTGTGCACTCAGCATACTAGTTCCTCCTTCAAAAAAGAATGAAAATGTTATTTGTTTTAATGTGTGTCATAGTGTTGCTTTGTACTGTGTATTGAATGTTAGAGCTTCCGTTTCTTAAACAAATATTCTTTTCTTTTACTCCATTTTTCTGTTTTCTGTGCAGCTTTGATTTGCTTATTTTAAAAGAGGTAGTACAGAAGATGGCAGGGATAGAAATTACAGAAGAAATGACAATGGAACAATTGGAAGCCATGACTGGTGGAGAACAACTAAAAGCTGAGGTGTGTTCATGTTAAATTTAATTAATAATAGCTATTGCTTATTAATGGTGGTTTTAAAGACTGTGATTCATGAACTCTGGCAGCATAGCCGAGAAAGGTGTTACTGCTTTCATCAGAGAGCGTCCCACTCCATTGAGCTTACAAGCCTTGCAGACAGGCAGCCAAGACAATGTATACATGAGCCTTAATTGTGCTTCACGGCATCTCCTGTTAACAAAAGCAGCCTTCATTATCCAGTGTTAAACGACAGACCTGCGAATTATAGCAGCCAGGGAGCTTGTATGTTGTGCAGCCCTGCTGTTTTAGCCCTGCTCTGGGGGTAGCAGCTCCCTGTTGAGTGGAGTAGCATCTTAAACCATTTTAACAGCTAAAACTGTTAACAGCCTTGGTGTCAAAGACCTAGTTGAGTCTGACCTAGACTTCACTCTTTAGGGAGTTGAATAGCTATAATCAGAACTAAAATTCAAGATTTCTGTATTGAACGTGAGCAGATCACAGCAGACCTAGGTCTAAAATACAGTGTCATGATGCGTGAGCTGAACTGTCACTCTTCATTTACGGTGTAAAAGACTAATTAATAGCATGCAAGACTAGTTAGTTTCTGATTCTTATATACATACATTGCAGTACAGGATCCGGAATGTTTTACTGATGGACAGGAAACTGTATTGATGTTAATTCATCAGTATTTCTGCAGTCAGAAGCACACATGGTTTCAATTTGTGATGCACTGTTTCCAAACTTGGGTAACTTTTTCTGTATTGTGCAGGGTGGATACTTTGGCCAAATCAGGAATACAAAAAAATCTTCTCAGAGATTGAAAGATGCGTTATTGGACCATGACCTTGCCCTTCCATTGTGCCTGCTTATGGCTCAACAGAGAAATGGTGTGATCTTTCAAGAGGGAGGGGAAAAGCATCTGAAGCTGGTGGGAAAACTGTATGATCAGGCAAGTAAAAATGTTTCCATTTATAAGAACCCATCCTTTTCTTTGGTACCTTCTAGTGTATCAGCACAAGACATAAGAATTCAGCACCTAAATAAGAACATATAAGAATTCAGTATAATAAATACAAGTATATAAGAATTTTCAAAATTAGTTTCAGTGATGTCATTAAAATATATGGGTGTATTCAATGTATATTATATTGATAGGTGACTTCGGAGTGAAAGATAACATCCTTTGTCATAAAAAGTTAAGTTCTTATTTCTTAAGTCAGCTATTACGTTTTCCTGATCTTACTTTGTTAGAGGAACTTTCTTCTTTTATTTTTTATAGCAGCAGCCTGAATTCTTTTGCTGCCTTGGGCAGTAGGAACTAGTTCCATTTCATTCTGGTAGAACAGAATGCTCTTACAGTTCTGCTGGCTTTTGTAGGGGTTGTTTGGTGTTGGGTTTTGCGGTGGGTTTTTTGGGGTTTTTTTTAGGTACATATAGAGTTGAGTCAGCATTGAGTGACAGAAGTGTGTGGCGTGGAAAACTTAGCATCTCTTCCCCCATGAGAAAATTCTTGCTGTACTATGTGTTGTTAATTTTTTTTTTTAAAAATAAGCTTTCAGGCTCTCCCTAATTTCACTTTTGAACAAAATAATACTGTTTGCTAATTTTCTGTATCTTTCACATGCAGTGCCATGACACCCTGGTACAATTTGGTGGGTTTTTAGCATCCAATCTAAGCACAGAGGATTACATTAAGCGAGTGCCTTCTATTGACGTTCTCTGTAATGAGTTTCACACACCTCACGATGCCGCATTTTTCCTCTCAAGACCCATGTATGCACACCATATTTCAGTAAGTAGAACTCCTCTGTTTGCCTGCTGTTAGTGCTGCTACATTACATGTTATCAACATATGTGTTAGGTTCCTGCTAAAGTTTAATTGTGCTAAATAAAACTTGCAGAAGCTTTAGGGGTAGAAAGAGCAGCTGTGGGCTGGAACAGGTTATCCTTTATCTTCATAGAAAATATGGCCCATGCATCAGCTTTCACACAACTGACAGAAGTTATAGCTAATGAATTCATCTCTTCTGATGATTTGGTTGATCAGTAGTTCTCTCCCTTCCTGTTCCCCCAAATCTGTAAATTCTTTTGTAGATACTTCATATGGATTTTTGCTGTGGAGGAAAAGGCAGTTGCAGCTGCCAAAAGGTGTGGTATCTCAGGAAGTGTCAGAAATAAATTTTTCCCTGCATCTAAAGCGTTAAATGTAGAGAGCAATTTTTATTTGGTGTAGTATAATGTGTTACTATAACAACAGGTAGCAGCGTCAGTGAAAAAAGGTAAATCCGTCCGATATGAATTAATACTAAAAGTTCTGTATCATGTTCTTCAGTGCTTTTTGTACATAAATAACATTTTGTATGTGTAAATGCTTACATAGAAAGGTTTTTGAGAAAAGTTAAATTATATTGTTTGTGTACAAAGATTACAAATTTTTCATCTTTTTAATCCACAGTCAAAGTATGATGAACTAAAAAAAGCTGAGAAGGGAAATAAACAACAGCACAAAGTTCACAAATACATTACATCCTGTGAGCTGGTGATGGCTCCTGTTCATGATGCTGTGATTTCTCTGCACCTTCCCAAGGTTTGGGATGACATCAGTCCTCAGTTTTATGCTACGTTCTGGTCTTTGACAATGTATGACCTTGCCGTCCCACATAGTAGCTATGACAGAGAAGTCAATAAACTTAAAGTCCAGATGAAAGCCATAGATGACAATCAGGAAATGGTATGTTTATATAATTTTATGGTCCAGTTTAAACTTTCTAACCTTGAAAGACTTTTTGTGCAATCTTGTTTAGATCTGGGAGGTTTTGTCACCCGATTCATCCATTCTGATTTGTCACGTTTACATAATTTGGATTGACTATTCCTTATCATTCCTGTGTTAAAAGTACCAGTGACTTCACTAAGTGAAAATTACTGCAAAATCTGTATTTCAGAAAGCAATCTGCCCCTGTATCTGTGCTTTACCTGTTCACTTTTGTCTTAACTTTAGTCAGCGAGTGTTCATAAAATCAGGTGATTATGAGAGCCGAACATGTCAGGAATTTAATTGCTCTAAGTATTAGTATAATACTAAGTGAGTCGCATTGACATTTTATAGCCTCCAAATAAAAAGAAAAAAGAAAAAGAACGTTGCACAGCACTTCAGGACAAGCTCCTTGAAGAGGAGAAGAAGCAGTTGGAGCATGTGCAAAGGGTTCTACAGAGACTGAAATTAGAGAAGGATAACTGGCTTCTGGCAAGTAAGTGTGTGCAGGGAAGACATTCTGGATGTTTTTGTAGTCATCACTGTCCCAGAACTAAAAGTTCAGCTTGCACTAATACTCTTAATGTTGATTTTAAAATTTGATCTCTTTATATGTTGAGGTCTGTTAGCAAGGTAAACTTTTAATTAGAATGTAAGCATCCTTGCTGCAAATGCCAACTAGTTGGTTTTCAGTGAGATGTTTTGTTTGTTTCTTGCAATGTCAAGACCTTTTAAATATTGTGCTAATTTAGAAAATAAGTAAGAGATTGACCAATTCAGTGGAAAGTTGTAATTGCAAGATGGCTTGCACTTATTTACTGCAGTTAGAATGCTGCTAAGTTAGGATAATTGCTACATTGCAAGAAATAGGCATGTAAACTCACAATGAGTGGTTTGAGTTAACTTTGAATCCTGTGATTAGGAGCAATATGCCAGTATTTGGGTGGTAACATAAACCCTGTTCCAATGACAAGATAAATATTATACCAGCACCAGAAAATGAAACAGCATGCAAATGTTTCATATGGCAGATATGCAGGAGGCAGAACAAACTTTTTCTGACAAAGCCTCTAATGTTTCGTGTGGATTGTGAACTCTGATAGTATGGTTAATCTGAAATGTTTTTCTCTGGTCAGTTTTCTTCTCTGGAAGAACTTTCAGTTTGTAACTGGAAGTAGTTGTTCGTCTGTCCCAAGGAGCCTAGCATAATCCAGTGGAAAAGCGTTTTATTGTCCGACTCATGTAAGATACACCCACCTGATTCAATGAAGAAACATTGACAGTTAAATCAAGAAAGGTTATTCCCTATAAATATTTAATGTACTGGTATGGACAGCAAATTAGCTACATGAAGTTACTGGTTGAAAAATTACTACCTGAATGAAGCTTGGTGTAGAGCTGAATGATAAATTTGTCTGCTTAAGGAACCATCCAAAAGCATGTAGAAAACTGTTTGTGTAGATATGATCTGTATATAAACACGTACTCTTAATAATACATGCGTTCATGGGGTATGGCTCCTGAGTGCTCAGACTTCAGCTGCAAGAAGTTTCCCAGCATTGCATCTGGAGACAAACTTTAATTTTTCAGCCATTTTCCCATTGAAAGAAATTATCTGTAACTGTGCTATATGAGCAAATTGAATAGCACATCCACTGCAGTAGTATTTTTAAAAATTACTTTTTTTAAAAGACTGACTTGTGTAGATACTTTTGATACAGTGGTTATATCATTAAGAGTAGGTTAATTTTTGGCAGAATAACTAGACTAGTAGTTTTAACAATTGGAAATTAGCTATTCTGACTGGCTGCTTACTTGCTTTACTTTTACGCTTTTGAAGTAAAAATTACACACTTGATTGTTCTACTATGAGCTGTGATTCTCTTTTTTTTTTTTTTTTTTTTTAATGTCAAAGGCTTCTTATAACCTTTGAGGGGTAAATACTAAAATTAAATAAAATCAACATAAATTTTTTAGTTAAGTAAAAGCTGACTGTCCTTTCTTGAACAAGCTTTATTCCATGAGAATCACAGAATCTAAGCAAGTAAATCCTGGGTCTTACGACTTGTGCCCTGCAGCCTGTGCAAGAATCCCAGTGCAAAACCACCAGTTGCCCTCATGAGGACCATGACTGTTCTACCTCTGAAGGCATCCGTTTGCAGTCTTCAGTTCTGTGCCTTCCTTTTGTGCTGTATATTCCTTCCAGCTTGTTTTTATGCTTTTTGTTAACTGGGCCAGAGCTGCCATGGGACCAGTTTTGGTATGTGTTTGGCTGTTGTGTTGACCAACCAGCGGTTGAGCATACAGTGCAGTCTTTTACTCAGTGGTAGAATGAAACCTTCACAAAATGTGCATGTATTGGGATGGTGATTTACTGAAGGCTGTTCCTCTGTTTAAATTCCTATAGTTGTTTGGTTGATTGGAAAAATGATTGTTAAGGGATTGTATATAGACAGCATGTTCTTCCATTTCTAAGGAAACCGAGCTGAAAGTCAGCCCCATCCAGAAAGGAGAAAACAAATGTTCTAGACAAATAGCAGATGGTGTTCCTTTTGCTAACGTGCAGAATTTGAGCAGCTGGAGAGGTTTACCAAAGTTTTTTCTGAGCCTGTTTTGTCCCCCATTGCGTAATACAAATATTTTCCCAATAAGAAATGAAGATTTGCTACAACCACCTTCCTACCCTCCCCCCCATCCTCAAACAGTTCAGCTTATTTTGACTTTTTCTGAGCAGTGCCAAAGATATGTCTGCAGTGCAAGTGGCCTATTGTACAAACTCAAGAACACGGATGTGTGATACCGAACTTCTTGGGAAGAGAGTATTGTGTGTTAACCCATTAACTTACTTTCTTCCTTTTTTCTCTCAACTTTGTTTTTGAAGAGTCAACCAAAAATGAGACTATCACAAAATTTTTGCAGTTATGCATATTTCCTCGATGCATTTTTTCGGCAATCGATGCAGTTTATTGCGCTCACTTTGTAGAACTGGTGCATCAGCAGAAAACACCCAACTTCTCCACACTTCTCTGCTATGACAGAGTAAGTAGCTAGAACTCTGTGTGTGTATGTACTTTATTATTATTACGAGTATGCAAAACTACTATTCCCCCACCTCCCAAAAGAGGTAAACAAAATCATTGTGTTTAATTCTAGAATCTGTGACAATGAAAAGTTCCCTTTTGGACTTCAGGTTCTACAAACCAAGTTTTCCTAGAGCTTCAGGGGATTATTTTAGAGGAATTTAGTTTTTGATTGATGCTAATGAGACTAGAGTTTCAGAGTAAAGTCATTAGCAGTCATGGGAGTTGCATTCAGGTTTTGCAGCCTTCCAGTGGTCTGCATTTTTACAGCCTCCTCTCAGCCTCCCATTTTAGCTGTTTGCCCTACTGCTGTAGTATTAACTTTCTTATACTTGGCCCTCACAAGCAGCGTCCTTAGGGCCCTTCTGACCCTGGTGAATGATACTACAGGTAGTGGACTAATTCGTGTCACTACTGAACCATGGGAAGGGACTCCCACGGTGACGTGGGGAGTATTTTGATAGCAGCAGCAGCCTGACTTTCTGCGTCAAACAGGGCAGTTGGAGATGTTTGTTCAGGCTGTTCTCACTGGTCATAGAGCCATTCTTTTTCTCCTGTGGAGGAAAAAGGTGGAGAACATAGATGGAAGAATCTTGCGGGATGCATTCAGCTCCAACAGTACCAGCTGACTAACTGTAAGAAGTGAAATCAAGTTAGTGCATCAGCTGTACAGTTATAACAGATTGGACTGTGAGCTTTGATTAAAAGGATGTGTATGGGGCTGTATTGTAATAAAAAAAAAAAAAATGTGGCAAAGATTGTTTTCATATGAACATTCAATTAAGATTGTCTGGTTTTCTTTGAGATGAGACATTTGAAGTAGATATCTACTTTGATTTCATGGGTCCAAAAGAGCATTTTTACTCAAATATTCAGCTTGAGTTCTAGGTGACAGAAGTAGGCAACTGCATGAGCCCTATCTGATGAACCTGTGCAGGCTAGGAAAAAAAATCCTTTTGCATCAGGTTGGCTAGGTGTTTACATCTACCTGCTCAAATAAATTATTAATTTGAAAACAAAACAGTTATATGCCAATGAAGATTCACTTTAACTATGGAAAAGTGTCAGCAACAGCTATGTGCAGTACTTAGATTCTGGGCTAAGTGTGAAGGACCAGCAGTTGGGTAATAAAGTTCAAAACAAACTGAGAATATTTTTATAAGAGTTATCCCTGGAGGTATTTAAAAGACAGGCAGACGAGGTGCTTAGGGACATGGTTTAGTCGTGGGATGGCAGGGTTAGGTCAACGGTTAGGCTTGATGATCTTAAAGGTCTTTTCCAACCTAAGCAATTATATGATTCTATGATCTCCTTTATATTTAGAAACCAGTTTAATGGTGGCTTAGATTAGAGAAATTTGAAATTCTTGTTGGTTCTTATTCCTTTTCTAATTCAGTAAAGTCATTGTAACTTTTTATTACTGCTATTCACAGGTTTTCTCTGATATTATATATACAGTTGCAAGTTGCACTGAAAATGAAGCTAGTAGATATGGCAGATTTTTATGCTGTATGCTGGAGACTGTGACTAGATGGCACAGTGACAGAGTCATATATGAAAAGGTATGTGAAGTTACTAAAAGAAGTTTGTTCATGAGAATATATAATGGCCACTTGTGTCATTCAGCCCAATAAAAATGGATTTAGTGAAATCATTAAGTTAGATTTAAAACCACTGTGTGATTGAATTTTTCTGATAGCATAGTCTTAGAATTGAGTTTCTGTAATTCATGTAGTTTTAATAGAAGTAATTTTGTGTAATGTCAAAAAAATCTGGTGGCTAAAAAAAAAAATCATACACTTCTGATTTTCTCGTAGCTTGTCTTAAAGATAATTTAGGGAGCATATGGAAACTTTCATAATGCTCATTGTAAAAGCTAGTTAAATTACAAATAATCTTTTCTCTCACCCACCACTAAGATTGCAACATAAATAAGTTTTTAAAGAAAAGTATATGTTTATCTTGTAAAGTGTGAGTGTGTCTTAGTCTTTAGCAGAATCAGTGAAAAAACGCTTCAGTTAGCATATTAATTTTTGCAGAATGACTGGTTTTATGTTTCACAAAGTATTTTCTTTTTTTTTCTTCTACGCATATGTAGGAATGTGGCAACTATCCAGGCTTCCTAACTATATTACGAGCAACTGGATTTGATGGTGGAAATAAAGCTGATCAATTGGATTATGAGAATTTTAGACATGTGGTACACAAATGGCACTATAAGTTAACTAAGGTAAACAAAGATGCTGCAAAACAGGTTTTTGGAAGCTTTAGTAAAAAAAACCCCAACTTCATTACATTTAATTTGTGTTTTAGGCTTCTGTGCACTGCCTTGAAACCGGTGAATATACGCATATCAGAAATATCCTGATTGTGCTGACCAAAATCCTTCCATGGTATCCAAAAGTGCTGAACCTGGGCCAAGCCTTGGAAAGAAGAGTACATAAGATATGTCAGGAAGAGAAAGAGAAGAGACCTGATCTATATGCATTGGCTATGGGGTAACAACACCTTACTTTAAGAAAGTGGTTAAAAGTGGATCATGAAAGGCTTCTAAAGACTCGGAACTGTTACCGCCCTAACGTTTGATTTTTACCTTATCACAGAAGATTGCACTATCCTGAATCTCAGGGCTGGCAGTGTGAATGAAAACTTTCATTTTGCGCTGGATGATCACTAATTTCCTTTACAAGACTCTAGTAAAACACTTAAAGTAGTAAGGATTTCCACTCACAAGAGCATAGCTTAATTTTAGAGAAATAGTATAGCAGCAAGAAGGGATAGTAAAATGAAGAAAGCCAAGGGCTATTGATGCAAGACTACTTAGATTTTGGATGTTTATAGGATTCTAAAATGCTTAATTATGCTTTACATCTTTCTGTGATGAATGCAGAATCATCCACGTATGCTTGAGGGGGCAGTTCAGGTTGCCCTAACAGTTTTAAGCTTTGTCAGTAGGCTGTTTCTTCTTTGTGTTTGGCAGGTGTGTGTATGTGTGGTGGTGATGAAGAGGGTGTGGAGGTAGGGCTGCTTCTGTCTAGTGTTTTTTTCTTTTTTTTTTTCTTTGTTTGTTTTTTTTCCTTTGAGCTCATTGATAAAGGGGGAAGAAACTGCATATCAGTTGGGAAAAACTGTGAATAAATAACAGATGAACTGTTAGATTAGATCCTCATTTAAAATTCAACCCATGTCTTGCTTTATGTTTGTGCATATTTAACAATCTGTGCGACTTGCAGCTATTCTGGGCAGTTGAAAAGTAGGAAGCCTTTCATGATACCTGAAAATGAATTCCACCACAAAGACCCACCTGCCAGGAATGCTGTAGCTGCAACAGTACAAAATGGGCCAGGTGGTGCTGGGATGCCTACATCTCTCTCAATAAATACAGTTAGACTGGAAGAAGGCACTACTGAGGAGACTGGTAAACAAACCTATGATTATCATTTACTTACTTTTTAGTAGAATTATTCTGACGTTACAGGCTACTCTCTCAAAATTTGGCTCAATAAACTGAAAAGAAAAAAATCGAAATGTGATGCTACATAGGGTTAGTGTGTGTTCTTTATTAGTAGTTGGTTTTGGGAGAGAGTGTTCTGCACTTAATTACCTATTTTAACTGTTAGCTACACATGATCTTACATGAATAACCCTAGGTACTTACTGTATTTTAACCATGAGGATGTATATTAACTTGTTGAAATAAAGCTGTTCTCTTTTTTTAAAACAGACAAACTAAAGGAGAAGTCTCAGGGTGTGGTGAAAGTTATTAATAAAGCTGTCAATGCTACACCAAAGGTGACAACAAGCAATGGAAACAGTGCTTCTAATAGGTGAGAAAAACTACTCTTTGACTTTCTCTATTTTCTTCCTTTCAAACCATAGAATTATACTTGAAACTGACCTGCCTTTTCTACTTTCAGGTTACATATAAATTGTTTCCATTTCTTCAAAGTTTAATAAATGAGATTATTTCTTCCAAAATATACAGCTGTACTTATCTGACACTGTTGTTAAGTGCATTCCATTTTAGCTAAATAAACATCTGCTTGTTGCTGTCCTGATAAAGAGACAGCAAATCTGAAATCTGACAGAGGAGGTTCTATCAAACACTTTTGTGATAAATCTAGAACTGGTTTTGTATGCATGCTAACTGGCCTTTTTGTTTTTGATGCAGCAAAATTATTAAAGAGAAAGAGGAGAAAGAAAAAAGCGGGAAGGAAAAAGATAAAGAAAAAAAAGACAAGACTCCAGCTGCCACTCCAGAGATGAAGGCACTTGGAAAGGATGGGAAAGATAAACCAAAGGAAGAACGGGCAAACAAAGATGATAAAGCAAGAGAGATCAAGGAGAAAACACCAAAATCTGACAAAGAGAAGGAAAAAGTCAAGAAAGAAGAAAAAGCTTCAAAAGAAGAAAAATCCAAGACGGTTGTTACCATCGTTGAGTCAAAGTCAACTGCAGAAAAGGAGAGAGAAAAGGAGCCATCCAGAGAAAGAGATGTAGCAAAGGAAATGAAATCCAAGGAAAATGCTAAAGGAGGAGAAAAGATGCCAGTAGCTGGGTCCTTGAAGTCACCTGTTCCCCGATCAGAAACATCAGAATCTGAAAGGGGTAAGTTTGCATTATTTAATTTCTGTTCTTGTCTAGAAAAATAGAATGTGCACTGGATGTCAAAAAATGCTAGAGACGATGAGAAAGAATTGCTACATAATAGCTAAGCATTTTGGCATTGGCTTTTAAATACGGTTAGTGCCTAAAGTAGGTAGTCAGGATATCTCCAAAAGGTGAATTATGTGAATGCGAGAGCTTCACGTGTCTTCAGTGAGTGCTCATTTTCATGAAGCCTAACATATTTTAGTATAAGTCTGAATGGTCTTTTAGTAAAACGTATTTGTGTAACCGTGGCCTTGCATTAAGTTTTTGCAAAACTTGCAAAAACCTCAAGAGTGTGCTCTGAAAGTTTCATCATAACCTTTGAACCGAAAGAAAACAGGGAATGTGGAAGATGTAGGCCTACATAAAATGGAAGTTTTTGAAATGAGCATAGTTTTGCAGCAGTTCATTCACATTACACTTTTCCTGCAAACTTTCATAAACAGGGTCAAGGCATGCTGGTAACTCTAGGTAGCTTAAGAAAAACAAAATTTACCTAGTGTTAAAACTTGAATTCTAGCTTAAATTGTTTTGGTACTTCAGAAAGCCTTGTTACTAGATTATCCTCTTTTAAATGTGTTTTAATAAAGCTATTGTTCTTTTCTTTCCTCAGAACAAAAACGCCGCAAAGTTGATACACATTCTTCTCCATCACATTCCTCAACAGTAAAGGTTAGTATAGCCTGAGGAAGGCAGCACCCATGTTAGGCTCACAAGTTTGGGATGCCAATGTTCGACTTCCTTCAAGTTTTGTGCCAAGTATACACTGGAACCACTGGAGGTTTTATGTTGCATTAGAAAATGCGTTCCTTTTCTTTATTGGCGGACTGTCTTTTTTTCTAGAAAAATATTTTTAATTAACCAAAATAATGCTTCAAGGACCTAGCACAAATTTTGTAAATAGTGTTTGGAAATTGCAAGAGAATTTTTACACAGAAGTGCCTCATTATTTTAAGCGGTCAGTTTTTTTGGAGTGCAATGGTAGCTACAAGCAAATGAGTCTTTCCAGCAGAGTGGAGCATATTTTTCTGCACTTCTATTGAAGAATCTATAGCACTGAAGATTCCTGGATGATACGGGATGTACGATACCTCTGAATTCATCAGGCTTCTTGATGAGCATCATACCGATATGTGCCTTCTAAGGAGGAGTCTTGAAAGGAGTTCCATTTTAAAGTCTCCTTGGTGATCAGTTCTCCTGTAGTTGTGTATATTCAGTGCGCATGCAGCTTCTGTTGTACCTTCCCTTCGAGGTTTGTTTATTTCCAATGGGTTCCCACCATGTTGAGCCCTGCGTTACGATAAAACCAGATGTGGCAACCAAGCCTACTACCCAGCAAAGAGAAACCCCAAGCATTCAAGCGCAGCACAAAACCATGGGCGTAGCCTACCTGAAGACTCAGGGTAGCCATTCCTTGCTCCATATTTATTTTATTTCTAAACCATCTATGTTCATGGAATCTTTGAATTTGCAGTACGTTGAACATTCAAAACTGTAAGTTACTAATATTTCATCAAGAGCACTGTGATGGATTATGTGGGCCTTTACACTTCACCATCTTACCAACTAGAACAAGCTTTTCCATCTTACCAACTTTAGAACGAGCTTTTCTTTTTTTCTGGTTTTTCAGAGTACATCTTTTTCTGTGTAAGATTTACTTGAAAGATTTAGGCTAATTTTGGAGAACTCAAATAGCTGTTACTAGTTTTGAAGAAGCAGGTGACAGTGATAACTACTCAAAATGACAGTTTTTCATGCCTGTTTTTTGTAAATGGCAATGTAACGTAATTCTAGAGTGACTTCTACCACGTTTAACTGAAAGTGGAGAAGATACAGGTTTAAAAACATTTTAAACCTGTTTCACCTGTGGTTCAGCTGTATTTAGAGTTAAGACTACTTTTTATTTATATTTTGTCTTGGTGGGAGAGTGTTTTTTACTGTTTTATGAGAATTAGATAAATACATTTTGTAGTTTACTTAATAATTGGGTCTAGAGAATAGGTATGACTGTCTTTTTTTTCCTCCTTTTCTTTTTAAAAAATAATTTCAGTTCCGAGCTTTGTTCAGTGTACACTATTAACATAAGATTTATTCCAGAAGGAGTAGCTGGTTTTTGTTTCAAGGGTATGACCATGCTTCCCAAAGTTCCTCTGGTTTCTGAGAACTATTCCAGCTTACGTGTCATCTCCATTCATTTTCTACAGGACAACCTCAACGAACTCAAGGACTCATCAGCAAAGGTTTGAATCTTTTAGACACCAGCAAAGTTTACTTTCATGTTTTGTTGCAGAGAGAACTTAACTTTTGGTCTTGTGGCAAACCCCATCAGAAAATTAAAATTCCATTCCTGTAAATGATAGCGTAGTAATACAGGGATTTTTTTTTCAGTCTGCTATATGGAATCTCTGTACATGAGAGGGGGCATAGTTACATGGAAGCAGTGTGACGAAAATCCCCTGAAATTTACCATTCTATCAATATTTTTAAGAGATTTCGTGGGTCGGTATCTTTTTCTGTCCTCTCTGAAACTTCTAAATTTATAGAAGTGTCCTTACAATTAAGCGATTTATTTGGCTGAAGAGGTAATCAAATAGTCAAAATAATTCTTAGAATAGTTAGTTCTTTTTTGATACCAATTAAAACAGTAGTTACTTAAAACCAAAAATATTTGAGACCTACCCCTGGAATATCAGTACTCTTTTCCCCTTACTACTGTTGTATTCATTTTTTTAGTGCTATAGAACTACATTTCTAGGTATCTCAGACAACCTCCTAAATGATCATCTTTGTGTGTTTGTTTCCAGTAAACACACTTCAGATTTAGTATTTTATGAGAACATACACTAAAGAATGCTTTCAAGAGATCATAGAATCATAGAATACCAGGTTGGAACAGACCTCAAGGTCCAGCCTTTCTTGGCAAAAGCACAGTCAAAAAAAGAGGGCCCACCCCCCTGTCCAGCCAAATCTTAAAAAGTGTCCAGTGCTGGGGAATCCACTGCTTCCCTGGGGAGATTTTTCCAATGGGTGATTGTTCTCAGTGTGAAAAATTTTCCTCTTGTCTCCAGTTGGACTCTCCCCAGGAGTCACTTGTACCCATTACCTCTTGTCTTTTTCATGTGACACTTTGTAAAAAGGGAGTCTCCATCTTTTTTGTAGTCGCCCTTTAAATACTGGAACACAGTGATAAGGTCTCCCCTAACTGCCTTTTCTCAAGGCTGAACAAACCCAGTTCTCAGCCTCTCCTCCTATGGCAGGCTTCCCAGTCCTTTGATCGTCTCTGTGGCCCTTCTCCAGCCTGTCTACATCTTTTTTTTTTTGTATAGCAGGGACCAAAACTGAATACAGTATTCCAGGTGTGGTCTGACAAGTGCTGAGTAGAGTGGGTTAAGAGTTGAATGAGATTTTGGAATATTGTATTTTAGACATTCTGCAACTATTCTGTTGCCTTTTACTTGCATAGTAACAGTCACAAATACTGTAAACTTGCTAATATATTAGGATATGCAACTAATAAGAAATGGATCAAATCTTGTTTGAAGTTTCTTTGTCTTTAGACAAAGAATCTATCTCTAAAGCTGCTATTAAGATTTTTGATTACACAGTCAGTATCTATGCGTAACTAAATAGCACAAATGTTTATCACTTGGAAAATGCTGACCATTTGGACTTCCTGGATAACTGATGGGTTTATCTAGGATTACTTACATTCACTTAATTTAAAAATGCATAATGGATTATTACTTCCTATTCTATATTTACACTGCTCTTTTACTTGTAGCTCTCTTTGTATAAACCAAGTGTTCAGAACACTATATGTTCTAATTCAAAATAGCTCTGATTTTAGAATGGACACTTGCTGATTTTTTTTTTTTTAATTGAATCTTTGCAGTACCAAACATAGCTACTTACAGGGAGATGGTCTATAGGAAGCATCCTTTGATTCTTACAGTTAATGAAATTTTAGTCTCTATAGACTGAATCCATAGATCTTTCAAAAAATTATTTATATTACGATATCTTTTCTAGTTTCAAAAAACTTAAATATAAAACTGTAGTATTTGTATTGAGCTCACATCTATCTGAAATGTGGTATATGGTAGTCCCTATAATCTCACTTTTCCCCCCTTAGTGTATTAGTCAAGGTTCAACTGGTTAATTGAAACTTCACTCAAGTTTTCATTAGTTAAGCTGAATTTTTATTTAAAACTATTTTACTTAATAACACACTGATGTGGTAATCAAGCAGGCAGTGGAGCTATTTGTAATTAAATGATCAACAAACAGCTTTATCTTTCTAGTCAATTTGAAAAGTTAAATTTTAGAATGAACTATAATGTGTTTTTATAGACTTAGCTGGAAGTGTATTGCAGTTGTGTGACTCTTTCATGGATTTATTGTTTAAGTGCTCAGGGGATGGGAGGTGTCCAACCCTTTCCTTCCTCTTCTAAATGCTGGTTTCTGTTCTTTCTCACTTAATGAACTAATTTTTGTTCTTCAGTGCCATTCTAACAGACTTAAGGCACTTCTTGACAATATTCCCTATACATGGTGTAAGACAAGTTAAATGCTCTTCTTTACTGCCATGTACTTGTTTGGGGAAAGGCGAGGGTGTTCAGAAGCCTGTAAGATTCATGAGTTCAGCTTCCACTGAAAGTTAGCAGAAGTCTAGTGCTGTTGTATGCTTAGAGGCTTTCTTTATTCCTGACTTAGCCCAGTTTCTGGGGCCAGGCCATTGAAATGTTGATTTACATAGCAGGTTATAAAAAAAATGGTGCCAGACTTGAGTTAATTAGGTTTGTATTTATTCTTGCTTTGGCCTTTGCCCAAGTTACACAGCTTACAACAGTGCCCAAAATTTGATGTGGAAGTTGATAAAGCCTGATGAGCTGAATTCAGCCTTTTGTTGGAAATGGGGGTAGGAGGGATGCAGTTTTCCAAAACTCTGCATTGGGAGGGTAGAAGAGCAGTGGCATCTCTTGTGAACAACCATGTGAACTTGAGAAATGGAATAGGAGAAAGCACAGTTATGTGTTTGCTTTCTCACACAGAAAGCTTCTCTGGGAGACAACTGAATGGGGCTGCATAGAAAAAAAAACGTATTTGCAAGTCACTGTTTAAAGTTGACAAAAAAAAAAGGGAGCAAGGATAAGTTTACTTGTGGAATGGCAGCGTAGGAAATGGAAAAAGAAAAGAGGAGTGAGGGAAAAGAGCAGAAAGAAAAGTATCTGGTGAAGAGAGTATTGAAGGTTCAGACTCTGGTATAGGTGGGTCATAAAATTCCAGTTAAGTAATAAAAGGAAGACAGACCTAACATGTCAGTGTGACTTTTAACATAGGACCAGTAACATCAAGTTTTGGCAAGTTAAACATTTACCGGAACTGGAGAAGGACATGATTAATTTAATTAAAAGAAAAAAAAATATTTGAAACAATATTTGGTTTGGTTCAAGTGATTACTAGATTGTTCTAAGCTAATTTTCCACTTACCTATTTCTTTGGTGTCCTTTTAAGTAAGATGTCTCTCTAAAAAGGAATACAGAGAACGCTTTAATTAAAAGATACTATTCTTTTCCCCAAATAAAATTGATAGTTTATGGAACAGGAGAAGATTAAACTATACTGATTTAAATCTTTGTGTTGCTGTAACTTAAATATATAAAATACCAAGGAAAGGTGGTTTTAATTTAAAATGTGCCTTTATTGGTATTTTATGAAAAATAGTTCTTAGAAAGATCTAACTATATAATTGTATTTAAAAAGACAGAATTAGTTACTGTAATGCATCGGTATTCATATAATACACGTGCTACCTTACATATATACACAGGAGCATTTAAACTTTGTCAAGTGTTACATTTGACATTACTGCGACTTGGTTTCTATTCTCCTCCTCTGCGACCCCAGTTTATATTAAAACACTCAGCTTTGTGAAACTAGTGTGTTTTACAGAGCATATCAGAACGGTTAGACGAGAGAGTGGAATAACAGCCTAGGACACATTACAGAACAAACACGAGTCTTTTCTACATTTGGCTCCTTTTATCATTTGAAGTTTAAACTGAAGGTGAAATTTTGTATTACTTTAGATGAAAAAACATATTATTCAAAGTATTGGCTTAAATACTTTGTGAATTAAAATTATTCTTTAAAAAATTAATTAGAACCTGTTTAAGCGGCTGAATCCATTCATTTGTTCCAGGCAAGATTGCAAGTGTTAAGTCAGTCCAGGAATCTGCATATCCTGCTTCAATAGCACTGCTGTCTGATTTATTTTGATTTATCAAACAATACTGGTGAACAAGTTATGTGTATTTAATATAAGTGTTTCAGTTAAGAGAAAGTGTTCTTGAATTTCCAGTGTTGAGAAAACAAAGCTATAGCTGAGAAGTTTGAAAGTGTCTTCAATCAATTTTTTTTTGCTAGTAAAGTATGAATGTTTAATTTTGCTCTTTGAGCTAGATCTGTTATGTTAGAGTAAGACTATTTATTTATTTATTTATTTACACATCTAGGAATACATATTAATATTTGGTGATATTGCCTTAATTTAACAGCACTACATTAACCACACTACTCCAACACTGTCCAAGAGTAAGGAGAGAGAAGTGGACAAGAAAGATTTGGACAAGTCAAGGGAAAGATCCAGAGAGAGAGAGAAGAAAGATGAAAAGGACAGGAAAGACCGTAAAAGGGTTGGTGAATTTTTTTATGAACTAGTTTAGAAAGTTGGTGAATACTTGGAAGCCTTCTGTTCAAAGTCCTTGCAGTCATAATTGGTTGTACAGCCTATCCAAGCAGAACTGATCCATGTCAGGGTTGGTTTGCTTTTGTTCCGTTACTTTTTCAAAGGTCGGTTTACAGTAATGTATTCAAAACTTTTTCCCTTCAAAACCGATCTCAAGAAACCTTACACAAGATGTGATAACTCAGTTATGTTTTAAGTATTCAACAATTAGTTCTCCAAAATAACGTTGTAAACAGACGCTACTTCGGGGGTATGTTTTAATCTGCTAACATCTGCATAATTGTATTTGGTGCCAGGATCATTCAAACAGTGACCGAGAGGTACCACAGGATTCAACTAAACGACGCAAAGAGGAAAATGGGACAAGTACGTATTTCATTTTGTGTGTGCGTATTGGGCTTTTACTCGTTGTGAATTACAACTTTCTGTTGTGTTTTTAGCTGGTTCTTCAAAACATAGTAAAAGTGAAAGTCCTTCTGATTCCCCTCGCTTAAATGAAAAAGAGAAGGAGAAGAACAAATCAAAATCTTCAGGAAAAGAGAAAGGTGATTCAATTAAGGCAGAAAAGATGGAGAAGAGCTCCTCTGGTAGCAAAAAGGTAAAATAAGCTATTCTAATTTTGTTGATTTGCTTTTGTTGTTCTTGTGGGCAGAAAAATCTGATTCTTTTTCCCTAAATTTAATTGCTGCTTTATGGCCTAAATGAAAAAGATACGTTGTGAATCTGTAGGAAAACGCTTCTGGAAGTTCTGGTATTTCATGGCTCTAAATATTTCAGCAGTCACTCCTGGCAGGACAAATTGGAGGAATAGTTCGTTTTGGCAGTAGCCAGGAGAAGTCAGAAATTACTCTAGATTATTCAAAACCTAAATATATTTACAGACTGGTTTGGTGAGCAAATATATGAAAGCAAGGTTAATTTACATATAAACTAGTTTGCTGGTATATTCAGATTTTCAAGTGCATGTGTCAGCACAGCTTTTTTTGTTTTTGTGAAAGCAGGTAAGGATGTTGTTACATTTGTAAAACACCGAACAGTAGTTCCCAGCTGTTGTAACTCTTTAGTGACAGCCGTTATCATAGAACTGTAAGACAAAGTTAGAATAATCTCAAAAATCATGGAAGCTGATTACTCTCATTCTGACTGATATTTTTCTTTTTTTTTTTAAGCTGTGGCCAGTTGTAACTTTAAAGATGTATAATCCTTCTAATCAGACTGTACAATGTATGCTATAATAAACTATTTCCCATATGCGTATTTTTTAAAAGGAATCAAGACATGATAAAGAAAAAACAGAAAAGAAAGAAAAACGAGACAGCACTGGAGGGAAAGAAGAAAAGAAACAATATCCTTTTACACATTAACATTTCGGACAAACATAGAAAATAACTTTTATTTTATGTAGTAAAATACCTTTTTTTTTTTTTTCCCTTAACGTTGAATCTACTCATAAATCTTCAGACAAGCACAGATAATGAAGATTGTTCCAGTCAAGGTAAAAATTTTTTATTATTTACTCTGACTTGATATCTCCCGTGGCTCCTTGACTGATAAAGGATATACAAACCAAACAGCCTGAGTGTGAAAGGGCTGAAATTACCCAGGGTGGGGTTTTGGTTGATTTGGGGGGATTTTTTGGGGGTGGTTGGTTTTTTTGTTTAGTGTTTTGTGGTGGTGGTGGTGTTTTTGGTTTTGGGGGTTTTTTTGTTTTGTTTTGGTTTTTTGGTTGGGTTCTTTTTGGGGGTTGTTTTTTGTTTTTTTGTTTTTTTTTTTAATTCTATCCCAGGGAAAAAAACATCATCATCAGCATAGAGATGGTATAGATACTCAGATTTTTTTTGCCCTTTCCCCCTCCCTGCCCCAACAGACAGAGGGGAGTCAGCAATGTTTGGTATAGCTGCATGTTGGGCACTTTCTCCAAGAAAGGTTGCCGTATAAAAACAAAGCTGAATCCATGTGATCCGGATAGTCATCAGTCTTGATAATCTCCCTGTTAATTAAGTTTTGATAATCTACCTGTTAATAATTAACCTGTTAATTTTCTTGCCTAATATATTGGTAACTCAAGTTTTATATCCTCTTTATTTTAACAAAAGCACTAGCTTTCAAACCAACTTGCTATATAGTGTAGTAAGTCAGTTCATTCTCTGCTTAATCTTTTATCTGATTGGATTTGAGGAGGAAGAAGCCAAAGGAAAACTTTCGCATGGAGGCATTGACTATTTGCAGAAAGAAAAGAAACTTCAGAGTATTTTGACTAATCCATATTCAGACTGGAGCTTTTAGAAAAATAAACTGTTCTTTGCATCTAGCCATTTTAAGAGTGTTGCAATGTTTTGTTTTCAGTTATTTGGGAAGGAAAGTGCCCCAGTGAACTTAAAATTAGTTCACCTGACCTACCCAGCTTGAGTCACACACCGCTGCCAATCTTTCTACATAAAGCAGTGGAGAATTTTACATTCTAAAAAGTGTGTCTACGTTGGGTAAACATGAAAACAGTGTTCAACAAATACCAAAGAATACAGCTTCTCTGTCTGCTCGCAAGTTGTCCAAGTGCGTTATAAGTCTTATGTTTGTTCTCTATTTAGTACTGATGAATTGTTTCTGTGAAAACTTTGTAGATTCTGTGAGCACTCAAAGTGAATGCAAGCAGAAATGAAGTAGAAACAATTTTTTATTGAGTCACACATTTTTTTCGTGGTTTGAGATTTTTTGCTTTCGTAGAGTAATACTGTTCTGACTATTGAACGGCATGTAAGGCAGGCAGAGTTTTACTCTTTACCAGACAAACTGATGTTGTTACAGAGAGGGGGTCTTTGTCTCAGGTTTTGAAGCAGGATTGATCAGGCTGAAAATTTGTCTTGTTTTCATGACTCTCTTTGCTGGTCTAGAAAGCAGTGCTGCCTTTTCACCAACACAGTTTGTTGTGAATTCCATTTAAAGATAAGCAGGGGAGAGACTCTTTGTACTGTGAGGGTGGTCAAAAACTCCAGCAGTTTGCCTAGAGAGGTGGCCGAGCTGCCATCCATAGGGTGTTCAAGACTCTTTGTAGTGGCTGTACTTGCTTTAGGTGTCAGAGAAGGACCATGACATAGTCCCAAGTTCTTCAATTTTCCTTTGTCTTAACTAAAAAAACAGAGACAAATCTGAAAGGTGTAAATGCTTTGCTGTTGGGAATTCTTTTCCAAGAGGCCTAAGGATTATGGCATGGCTTATATAGCACTTAGAGGAGTGTTTTGATGAGAGTCCAACAAAACAAACAAACAAAACCCCAAAATTTGAATTCTAAAATCTTCTCATCATCTGGGAATGTCTTCTGAAAAAAGTCTCCACACGTGGGTTGTGTCCTCAAAGTGCAAAGGGGGGGGGTTATTGGGAAAAGGGTCTCGAGAGTTTCGTTTAGTGGCATTACTTGTTCAGATGAAGTTGACTACTGAGGACTTGCAGCTTCTTTAATAATAAAATGTGAAGTTTTATATTGACCAACAATTCAATATAAAATGAGGATTGTCATCAGTTAAAAAAGCCCAATTGTGTTTTACGACTATGTCACGATTTAAGCAACAAGCGCTTAGGTAAATGGCAGTCATGCAGTAAAATTCACATCCAGCTATGTAATGGGCCAGACTGGAGCATCTGGCCTTGAATACTGACAGCACCCCATCATTCGCATAGTGAAGCATGAAAAAATTAGATAAACCTGTGCTCGTTTGTTAAATCTTCTGTAACACTCTTCCTAATGTACGTCTGATTGACTGCATTTATTTCTTCCCTAATTTAGAGGTAGTAATATTTTGAGGGGGTTGTATTTCTAAGAGTTTCTACCTTCGCAAGTGACTACTTGTTTCTTATTTGTATCTTGAAATTAGCGTTTCACTATTTACAGTGCGGTGCTCACATTAATATAGCTCTTGCTGTGGATTGAACTAGAGTTAGGGAATGAATGACTGATGAAAATAGTTTTCTTTTCCCCCTCATTCTTTGAATTGTGAATGGAATAAAATGCTAAGTTGTGAGGTCAGTATTCATTTGGAATACATCTAATTCCAATCATGTATGCCTTCATTGCAGGTGAGATTGAAATGGGAAGATATCCAGCTGTGACCAGAAACGTATTTTCCAGAGTATAGATTGCACAGAAATTTGTGAATGAAGAGGACCCATCTGCATCTCCTTAAATTATTCAGTTCTCTGCTTTATTTCCCCATGCTGAGGATTTAATTGTTGAGTTGTACATTACTGTATTTTAACTTGTTGCTTAGTTTCTTACACATTTATTTTCAGTACCTGGCTGAAAGTGTTACCTATTCCATATTTTAGCACAATGTGCTGCAAACAAACAGTTGCCATAGTGCAAATGAGGTTTCATGTGTACAGAGTTCCACTTTAGGTTGTCGAAAATACTGCCTGAGTTTAGTAGTTCTTTCGATCTGAAATGCATTCTTTTAGATGTTTGAAAACCACAAATAAACAGTTATTGAACCTTTTTGGATTTACCTCATTTAAACTCAGTTTTTATTTATTACTTGGCCTGTTTTTAATATCAGTGACTAAAAAAAAAAAAGTCAAGTGGGAGCACTGTTTTCATGCAATGCTTAGGGATTATTTGTATATTATGTGTACAACGTTGACTCGTTTAAAGAAACAAAGAATGAACCCCGTCCCTTCCATCCCAACCTGAACCTGTGCTCAGTTGTCCCTTGCCACACCTTTTGTTTGTCATGTCGTTTTTAGATTGATTGGAAATGCTCTCTTCAAAACTGAAATAAATTAAGTTTCAATTACAGCTACAGGAGCTTTGTATTGCTGAACTTTAGTCTGAAAAGTTTCACAATGACATTTTTAAAAAAAGAAAAAAAAAGAATTTTTTTATCTGCTGAATTCTACCAGTGTAACCTTTTTTCTAAATAAACAATAGTTTTCTCAATGGGTCGTAAATCATTCTCTGTGTGGTCACTTTATTGCTTTATGTATTTTTACAAAAACTGGGTATTAGTTGGGATTGTTGGGAGGGTGTTTTCTGTCTTGGCTTACAAGCCCCCTGTTCCTGCTTGCTGGTCAGGTGCAAAGTGGTAGTTCCATAGTGCGGCGCCTGCTGTCAGGCGGCGGATGTGTTGTGCTTCTCCAGTGGTTTTGAGAAGCTCAGGGTTTGCCTTCCTGCGTTCAGTCAAGTTTACAGCTTTCCCTTGAGGCACTTGTCCCTCATCCAAAGCTCATTAAAATCTGTCACTTCCCCCTCCCTTCCTAATTGTGTCAAACTAGACTGACTTAGAGTGCCTTGAAAATGTTCAGTTTGACCAGTTCAGTTTAATGCCTGACGGAAGAGGGACTCTGCCTGGCTTCTGACATAGCAGGGTGGGTCGCTTTGGTGGAGCTGCCGGCTCAGGTGTTCACCTGGGTAAGAAATCTTCAGGTCTGGAAGTCTTTAGGTAACATTAATGACTTAATTTCCACCTTCTCCCCGCCTACTTTGTTTAGAAAATGCAGGTTGCGAAGGAATACTGGTTGGTGGTCTTTGGAGAAGGGGGGGTTCCAATGTCTTTTCTAGAGACTTTGTTCACTATTTAGCAATTAAAAAGGTGTGAATGGAAGCTGAGCTTTTTTGGC